CTGCCTCTAAACATCAAGATTTCGGGTATGTCTTGCTACTTCTACTTACATTTAGGCCCCAAACACAATATATGGAAAGTTTAAATATACACACACCCTGGGTTTTCTTCTATTTTTTACTAGGTCTTGTTCTTGTTTTTTTTTCCCTTATTTCCAGGGGGGAAGGGGAAAAATTCCCCCTCTGAAGCATGTGTGTCATAAAAACGAAAAAAAGTCGGGAGAAAGGGGTTTAAACCCCCCTTCTTCTGTATAATTACTAAATTTAAAAAGAGAAACTTTTCGTTTTTTTTTTTGGGGCCCCACTACTTGGGGGGAACCCAGTTTTTTGGGAAAAAAAAAATTGAAATTTTTGCTATCTTATGTTCACATATTCTTCATTGAAAAAATGAAAAAACCTGAAAGGGTGAACAGATCTGAAAAAGAATGCACACTGCTTTTCCAAAGGGAAATAGGAGGGCACTAATTCCTTTGGGGATCAAAAACCTTTCCTAGCAAAAAGGAACCCCCTTCCTTGAGGGTTATGTATTTTAAAAAGCTTCATCCAATCTTTACCAGTAAAGTCAACATACAGTATTTTTTTACCCGGAAAAAGGCTTCTCCTTTGTTCCCACATAAGGTTCCCCTAACTTTTTTTCAATTTTGGACAATCTTTTAGAAAAAAAAAAAAATTCTTATAAAAATACTGTCCCGTAAATCTCCTTTTTACCAAATAAAGAGGATAAAGATGATCCTGTTAAGCTGATTATTTAACATTCTGTTGTTTTGCTGTGATTGAACAATAAGGAAAATTCTGTAAACAACAAACATCTGTCTTTCCCAGAATAAATACCGTGGAATAACAAAATGGACAAGTCCTGAATGGGTGGGGTTTTGCGCCAGGCAGGGGAGTCCAAAAAACTCCCATTTTTTGAAATACCATGGGACCGGCTGGTTCTAATAAAATTCATCAAATAGGTTTTTTCTATACCCAAGGGAAAGTTAGCAAACCCAAACCCACTGTGATGAAATTGCAAAATTTTTTCAGACGAATCCACCCTTTATGTTGGGGGGGTGTCTAGCTCAAGTTGCTTCAAAGCCCCATCATGACCAAGGAGGGGCCTGAAACAATTCATGTCAGAATAAACAATTCGTAAATAACATACAGTGGTCCCTCATTTCTCGTATTTAATCCGTTCCGGGAAGTGTCTTTATCAAAATTTATGATTTTCAAATCAATTTTTCCCCTAAAAAATAATGAAATACAATTATCCTTTCCCTCACCCAGAAGTACTAAAAAAAAAAATTTTTTTAATGAAAAAAGATTGTAAATAAACATACAAGGGGAATGAGAATGAAACTTAAACAGCTAACATTCCCCTTTTTTTGGCAATTTTTTTGTGTTGGAAGACGGGGGAGGAACAGTTTGCATTAGTATTTTTGGAAAGGAACCCCTTTCCATCACCCTCAGGTACCGTGTTTTTCTGGGGTTACTTCTTTCTCTTTTTTCTTAATCCATAGGCCGTTTGGGGAGGCCGGGCCCTGTTAGAAAAAATAACTGTCCAGAGAGCTCTTTTTTGGGCGTTCTTTAAAACCTCCAAAAAGGGGCCCCAAGACTTTGCATGTACATTTTTGCAACTGGCTTGCAACGGGCCTTGTGAGGGTGTGTTACCCCAAAAATTTTCCTTCTTACCCAACATTTCAAAAATCCCCTTTAAATTTTTCTGAAAAAGGCAACTTCTTCCATCTCTCTTCCCCCTCCTCTGCGCAAGTTTGAGCGCGATCTGTTGCTTTCCTGCTGAAGCTTTTGGCTCCTCATGGTGAGCCTTCTTTGGGTTTTCCCCCCCCCAACCTCCACATTCTCCAAAAACTCACATCCCCCCCATGGAACCCCCCATGCACAGGGATTTAAAAACATGGGCTCATCGGGGTCAGCCCCCCCCCCTTTTAAAAATCCCCTTGTGGACAAAACGGGCCCACAATTTTCTCCAAGCAGATTTCGAAGTCCGGTAGTCCACTCCCCCCCCCTTATTAAGGCTTATGAATGGGATGCTGAAGTTTTTTTCCAAAAAAAAAATTCTTGGGTAAAGCGAGTGTCTGAGGTCACTTAAAGCCCCTTTGAAACATTGCTTTGGTGTGAGTTTTTTAATTTTGCAATGACCTGCTGGTCCAGGGTGGAGGAGAGGAGTGGATTCGGGGGCAAAAATTTTACTGTGATGAACCAAACCCTCCAAAATTAGGTATCCAAAGTTTGGAGGATGAGCAGGGCATTGCCATTACTGGGGCACTTGGATCCAATTTTTTTTTCCGGGAGGAAATTTTTTCACACTGGGCCAACACTTCATTGAACCCACTCGCAAAAATTTCCCTGTGCCCATGCCTTATATTAGATTCCAAAACACACAAAATTTACTCTTCATAACTTTTGTTTTTCCTAACATCGGGGATTTTACAGCTTCGCTTGAAATCCCCACTAGCATTAGACGAAATGACCCGCCTTCTTTCTAGGCCTGTGTCGGCAGCCCCTTTTTTCCTCCTGGAAATGTGGGCCTCTTTGGATTTTTTCCAAAAAGGGGCCCTGTTTTGTCACAACTGAACATTGTTCATTTCAGTCCTTCAGCCTCTATGTACCCCTTTAAATTCATGCACTATTTTCAGCGCTTTTTGGTCCGAACTGGCAGCCTCCCCATGCTTACCACACTGTGTAGCCCTAAGTTTTAAATTCAAAAAAAACCTTTGCTGGCTTAAATTCAAAAATATCAGTACTCTTTGGGGGCAATTTTTTTCCCAGTTCGCGTGAACCCCTAGCCTTTTTCAAAAATAACGACATCATAAGACTTCCCCTGATAATTGTTTCCGTTTCCCACACCAAAAATAATTTTCAACATCTCCGAGTCTGGTGATCTCTTTTTTGTCACATTTTATCCCCTTTGAAAAAACAGTTCTGTTTTTTTTTTTTGGCCCACGTGGAACTTGGTTGTATGGGGTTGTTAACCCCTGGCCAGTTGGGCCCACACATGCCAATTTCATATTATTCAATGATGTTTTTCTTAAATTCAATATTTTCTCACCTTTTTTACAAACTTGGCACTAGGATTTTTTGGAGCCAGGGTAGTTATTTAGTAGCTGCAAGCACTAAAATGAAGGAATTTTAATGAAATGTACGTATTTCGTATGAGCAATTTAGGGGACGTCCTCACTGGTAAAAAATGGACAGGCTGGGAAGGGGCGGGGCAGCTCAGAGGTGAGTACGCGTCCCGACGAAGATTTTCCGGGTAAACACGTTAGGAGCCAATTTTTGACGAAAATAGTTACAATTTTAAAAAAATTAGGGGATACGACCCTTACGTTATTGGGGGCCCATTGCCTTTATGCATTTTTTCCAAAAAGGTTGTACGAAGTACAACAATCAAGAATGCAAGTTTTTCATTAGAGGTTGTGTTTCCCAAAAGACAGGGGGGAATGGCATACAAAAAGATTAGTTAAAAACTTTAAAAATGCATAATTTCTTAGTAAGGCAAGACAATTCATTCCCAGTTTTTCTAAAGGACAGATGGGATTTTTGCAATTAAGAGTTTTATTTAAGTGTAATTCCTTTCACTTAGGAAAACACCTAGAAAACGTTGATGGTGAATGTGTTTCCTTTTTGGGTACCCCCCCTTGGGGGGGAAAGGCGATTTTCCCAATAAAAAAAAAAAAACTATGTTCCCCCAACATATTAAATCTTTGGGACCCACTCCCCATGTCAATTGCCAAGTATGTCGATATGGAGGGGCTTTAGTCTGCCCACTCAAACATCACCAACAATAAGCATTTCCCGCAAAATAAAAAAAAAAAAAAATAAAATGCATGTTAAATAAAATTTTTGAGGAAAAATCTGTGTTTACTTTTTTCTAGCTATTTAGACTAAGGATCACTGGGGAAAGATCAACAACAAATAAGACACAAACCGTGACTGGGACCCCATACACAAATAACCCAACATAGAGAGGGCTTTAACGACGTTTCGGTCCCCAAATTGGATATTTTCAAAATCACACTATGAAAAGGGAGGAGGGGGGGAGTATATATGGCCCGGAGGTTTTTAAAATAGTATGGAGGTAGAAGGTTGTAGTGATGGGGGAATAAAGGTAGGGTGGGACCTCAATACTAAAAAAGCACTGAAAGGGAGCTTGGGGCCCACAGAGGCTAAGAGCAAGAACACAGGGGGGGAAAAATAATGAGCAACAAAACCCAAGGCAGAAAAAAGACAACCCAAAGGAGAAAGAGAAAAAGAAAAGGGGGGGAAAAGGGGAAGAAGAAAAAGGAATAGGTTAACTCATGGTGTTCTGAAGTTCAAAATTTTTCAATGTAGGGGAAAAAAAGGGATTAAAAAGAGACAAAGCCATGATAAGGTCACGCAAGGAAAATTGGGATAAGGGGGGGATTTAACCCCAAAGGCGACTATAAAGTAGGAATAGGGTGACAGCTTTAGCAGAAGACCCGTCAATAGGATGATGTAAACTCTGACATGACAGAAAAGGGGTTGTTGGGTGGCAAGCCTAACACTACCATGTGCTCTCAAGTCTGTCAGAAAAAGATTGGCCAGCCTTTTAAAGTACTGAAGAGGACAGTAGGAAAAGGGGGGGGGGGAAAAAGAGTACAAACCCAGGAGCATGGTAAAGATCAGCAAATTACAAGATGAAAAAGATGCAAGTAGCCAGTTATATACAAAATCAATTGCTACAAGACACAAAAAAACTAAATGTAATTAATAATGTTCTATTTAGGGTATGCTTTTTTTTCAAATGAAACGTAATAGTTGAAAAAAATAATTAAATTTTTTTTGAAAATTAAACTATATAAAAATTCACCCTGAAAAAAAATAAAAATTTTTCTGAAAAACTGTACAACAATAGTTTTTACATGTCAATTATTGGGTAGGGGGAAATTACCCTTTAAAAACAGCAAGGAGAGGAAGGAGGTTAGCAGTGTGGGCCCCCGGCTAACAAAGGGCGGGCACAGCTAAGGTAGTTCCTTTGGACATCCCGGGGGAACACTCTGAGAGGAGCCTGCAGATTAAGACAATATTTCAATAAATTATTTTTCCTTTTGCTTTTTGTGTGTGCAAAATCAGTTGTACAAAAATCTTTTGTTTTTATTGGTTTGCTATTCCCTGACAAAAAAAAAACTGGTTAATAAATACTTAAAAAATATTTGGGGGGGGGGGGGAAAAGGGGGGAAAATTTTGTTTTTTTAAAAAAATTGGGGGTATTATGGGTTGGTAATAAATATATTTTTAATAGCTTTTTTTCCCTTTGGGTTTTTAGTTCCTTTAAAAATAAAAATGCCCGGGAAGGGTTGATGTAAAAATTTAAAAAATTTAAAAAAATTTAAATACATCTTGGTTTCACATGGGGGGTGTAATATGAGTGATATTTGCAGCAAACAAATGGTTGTTGAAAAGCAAATTGTGTGTTATGCTTTTGCGCTACCCCACACCTCCCACACACATTGTTAATACCAAGAACACTTTAATCACTGAAATTTTTTCCCAAACAGTAAAAAATTTGAATTTCATTTAAATCTTACCCACGAAAGGGGAAAAAATAGCAAATTTTATACACTACATTGTGACCACAAAGCTTTTTGGGCGCGTGGGGCTATGTACCTTCCTTTGGGGTATAAATATACCTAGTTGGATAAATCTTTTTAGCTAGCTGGCCCAGGGCTAACGCGTGGTCTGGGGTTTTTTACTCTCAGATCGCGGGTTCTAACCCACCCTGGTATGTTTTTTTTTTCATAAGCACTGTTAATCTGAAATTTCATAAATAAATAAGACTCTCATTTAGAACTTACACTATATGTAGGGAATAATTTTAGTGCACATATATGTTTATCTAGGTAGTAGGTTTGGGAACAGCAACCGCCCAGGGAGGGACTATGTCCCGCCCCGGAGTGTAAAAAGAAAACCGTATTGTTTTCTGTGGTAGGGGTTTTGGGTGTCCTTTTTTCTGTCTCCTGAACATGCATGATTTCAGGTATGTCTTGCTACTTCACTTAACTTAGGTCCCCTTACACTACATGTACAAATATATTACCACCCTCTGGGTTTTTTCTATTTTTTTTTCTAGTTTTTGTTCTTGTTTATTTCCTCTTTCCTCCCTGAGGAAGTGGAACGAATTCTTCTCCCTGCCATGCGTGTTGAAAAAGGCGATAAAATTTCCGGGAGAAAGGGGTTGTAAACCCCTTTTTCCGTATATATAATATTTTTTTTTTAACAATCAGCTGTCCCCCTGAGGGGGGGGTGACCCAAAAAAGAAAGAAAATCCCCAAAAAAAAAATATTTATCCATTCAAAAACTTTCACCACACCACAAATTTAACACTGTTTTTTTCAGAGGTGCTCAGAAAACAACGTTTAGAAGCATATACATATAAAGAAACCCAAAAAAAACCCCCAAATGCCAATATCCCAAACCCTCCTTTAAAGTGCAGGGGATTGTACTTCCCCTTTTCCAGGATCAAGTCCAACTAATAAAATAACCCGGGTTTCCCCGAATCCCTTCACTAAATATTTCCCGCTTTCACTCCAAAGTCGTTTAGGTCCCAAGTACCCTTCGTCTCCATTCACTCCTTTAAACCCCTCATGCAAGATAGAAGATAGAATATTATTTTATATAAATATTATATATATATATAATATTATATATTTTATATATATATATTATAAAATTATTTTATTTTTAAAATATATTTTTTTTTTTTTTTTTTCAACAAGTGGCCCTCTCCCCCGAGGCAGGGTGACCCAAAAGAAAGAAAAAACCCCAAAAAAAAAATACTTCATATCATTCACCTTTCACCACATCCCATTTTTTTAGTTTTTTTCGGGTGCTCGAATACAAAAATTAGAAGCATAAAAAATAAGATAAAACATATCCCCCAACTGCCAAAATCCAAAACCCCCCTTTAAATTTCAGGGATTGTATTCCCATTTCCAGGGCTCAATCCGACTAATAAAATAACCGGTTTTTCCCCGAATCCCCTTTATAAAAATTCCCGCTCAACTCAACAATCGTCAGGTCCCAAGTACCATTCGTCCCATTCACTCTATCAACACGCTCACGCACGCTTTTGGAAAATCCAAGCCCCTTTCCACAAAACCCCCTTTACCCTCCTCTCCAACCCTTTCGAGGAGACCCTTTCCCCGCCCTTTCCCTTTCCCTTAGATTTTTTATGCTTTCCATGTCATTCTACTGGATCCTTCTCTCTAAATGGGCCAAAACCCCCTCAACAACCCCTTTTCCCTTGACTAATACTTTTATTAATCCCCACCCTTTCCAATTTTCCCCACTCCCAAATTTTTGCTATTTTTACACCCCACATTTCCTAAACAGGACTCTCCCCTGCCTAACCGCTCCCGTGCTGCATTTTTCCACCCAAGCCACACCAAAAAGGTTGGGACTCTTATTTCACATTCCCCCTTTGCCTCCATTGAAACGTTTTTTGACTCCACAATTTTCCTCAACCCCCACTCACCTTTTTTTCCCCCATCAATTTTATAAACCCCATCCTTAAAATCCATCCGCCGCACATCAACTCCCAAAATTCTGAAAAACTTTTTTTTTTCCATATCCTCCTCCCCAATTTGATATCCAAATTTTTTTTTATCTAAATATTTGACACCCTCATCACCTTACTCTTTTTTTGTTCCTTTCAACTTTTACCTTTACACACATTCCCCAAAATATCCACTAAAACCTTTGCAATTTTTCTTTAGAACTCCCAAGCACAGTTCTCAGCAAAAAATAAAATGTGTCATTTTCCCTTTAATTTTATTCCCCCATAATTTAATTCCCCCCCTTCCCCAAAAACCCTAGCATTTTTTCCCTTTCAACCCCATTAAAAATATATTTTAAAAAAACCCTGGTGAATTAACTCCCTGTCTAAGACCACTTTTCCGGGGAAAAGTCCCCCTCTTTACACACCCTAACCTGGCCCACTATCCTCATAAAAACTCTTTACAGCATTTTTTAACTTACCACCTATTCCATTACTTGCAAATCTGCCACATTTTCCCCCTTTTCCCTCTATCATTGCCTTTTCAAAACCCTAAAGCAATAAAAACTTCCCCTTCTTTTTTAAATACGTTCCTTTTATGCTTTAATGTAAACACCTGATTTCACTCCCCTACCCACCTAAAACCTCCTTGCTCATCCCAATTAATTCTGTTTACTCTAATTCTTTCAATTATAACCCTACCGTACACTTTTCCGGTAAACTCAGTAAGTTTTTCCCCTATAATTTTTTTTCAGTCTCTTTTGTCCCCCTTTTCCCCTTTTTATAAAGGGGGCATACATCTCTTGCCAACCCTAGGTACCTTTCCCCCTTTATACATTTATTAAAAAAAAGTACCCAAACCCCTCCAACACTATATCCCCCCCCCGCTTTTAACTTTTTGTTGCCATCGTTCCCCTGCTTTCCCCCTTTCATTTTACGTAATGCTCACACCCCCCCCACACTTAAATTTTGCCTTCTCACTCCTAAAAAAGGTATACCTCCGACAGTGCTGAAATTACTGCCTTGTTTCCCTTTAAAATTTTAAAAGTTCCTCAAAAATTTTCGCCTCTTCCCCCTACCTCCATCCCCCATCTATAACTCCCTACTTGTTTTTAACTGACAAATCCTATTTTCCCTGGGCTTTCTTAACTTGTTTAACTCACTCCAAAATTTTTCTATTTTTCTTAAAATTTCTTAAAACGTGCCTCTCCCACTCTATCATCTTGCTCTCCTTTTGCACTCTCTCACCACTCTCTTTACCTTTCTTTTACTCTCCATATACTCTGCTTTTCTTATAACACTTTCTGCTTGAAAAAACCTCTCATAAGCTACCTTTTTCTCTTTTATCACACCCTTTACTTCTCATTCCACCAATCATCCTCTTTCCTCCTGCCCCACCCTCCTATAACCACAAACTTCTGCCCCACATTTAATACTGCATTTTTAAAAATATTCCAACCCTCTTCAACCCCCCACTACTCATCTTTGCACTAGCCCCCTTTCTGCCAATAGTCGCTTATTTTTTCTCACCCGAACTCCTCCCCCCTTAGTTTATACACCTTTCACCCCCCTCTTATTTTGTTGTTGCCACCTTCCTCTTTTTCCCATCTACCTCTTCTCTAACTGTAGCTACAACTAAATAATGATCCGATATATTCAGTTGGCCCCTCCTATAAACTGTACATCCTGGAGCTACCCATAAACTTTTACCCACCAATCATAATCTAAAAAAACTACTTTCATTACGTGCTACATCATACCTTGTATATTAATTTATCCTCTTTTCATAAAATATGTATTACTTATTACCAAATTTCTTTCTACACATAGCTAAATTTAAAGGCCTCCCATTTACATTTAACCCTGGCACCCCAAATTTCCTACTACTCCCTCCATAACATTTTTACCCACTTTAGCATTAAAATCCCCAACCACCATTACCTCACACTTGATTCAAACTCCCCACGCATTCACTCAAAATTTCCCAAAATCTCTTCTTCCTCTACACTTCTCTCTTCTCCAGGTGCATACACGCTTATTATAACCCACTTTTCACATCCAATCTTTATTTTACTCCACATAATCCTTGAATTAATACATTTATAGTCCCTCTTTTCCTGCCATAGCTTATCCTTCAACATTATTGCTACTCCTTCTTTAGCTCTAAACTCTATTTGAAAACCCTGACCTAATCCCATTTATTCCTCTCCACTGAAACTCTCCCACCCTTCGCTTTGTTTCACTAAAGCCAGGACATCCAGCTTCTTCTCATTCATAACATCCACAAACATCTCTTTCTATCATCTGCACAACATCCAGCACATTCAGAAATTCCATTTGACAATTTTCTTCTTCTTATTCTTTTTAGTAATCTTTACGGAAAAGGGGTTACTAGCCCATTGTTCCCGGCATTTTAGTTGACTTTTACAACACGGGATGGCTTACGGAGGAAAGATTCTTATTCCACTTTTCCCCATGGATATAAAAGGAAAAAATTTAAAAAGACCAAGAACTATTAAGATAAAATCAAAGAAAACTCAGATGAGTGTGTATAAATAAATGTGTTCATGTATGTGTAGTGTGACCTAAAGTGTAAGTAGAAGTAGCAAGACATGCCCGTAATCTTGCATATTTATGAGACAGACAAAAGACATCAGCAATCCCACCTCATGTAAAAAAAATCACAGGCTTCGTTTTACACTCACTTGGCAGGACGGTAGTACCTCCCTGGTGGTTGCTGTCTACCAACCTACTACAAATATATAATATATATATTAAAATATTATATATAATATATATATATATTTTTATATATATATAAATATATCAGAGGCGTAATTTCATGCACTGGTCAGGGAGGTATACCTCTTTTAGGAGTGAAGAAGAGCAGAATGTAAGTGGGGGAGGTACGCGAGGCATTAAGTAAAATGAAAGGGGGTAAAGCAGCTGGAACTGATGGGATCATGACAGAAATGTTAAAAGCAGGGGGGGATATAGTGTTGGAGTGGTTGGAACTTCGGTTTAATAAATGTATGAAAGAGGGGAAGGTACCTAGGGATTGCAGAGAGCATGTATAGTCCCTTTATATAAAAGGGAAAGGGGACAAAAGAGACTGTAAAAATTATAGGGAATAAGCTTACTGAGTATACCCGGAAAAGTGTACGGGAGGGGTTTTAATTGAAAGAATTAGAGGTAAGACAGAATGTAGTTGGGAATGAGCAAGGAGGTTTAGAGTGGGTAGGGGTGTGTAGTCAGGTGTTTAATTTAAGCATTTGTGAAAGTATTTTGTAAAAATAGGGAAGTTTTTATTGCATTTTGGATTTTGAAAAAAATATGATAGAGTGGATAGAGGAGCAAAGTGGCAGTTTTTGCAAGATATGGAAAAGGTGGTAATTATTAATGCTGTAAAGAGTTTTTTTGAGGTTTGTGAGGCTCAGGTTAGGGTGTGTAGAAGAGGGGAGCTACTTCCCCCTAAAAGTAGGTCTTAGCAGGGGGTGTGTAAAGTCACATGGTTGTTTAATAATTTTTAGATGGGGTTGTAAAGGAAGTAAATGCTAGGGGTGTTTGGGAGAGGGGTGGGGTTTAAATTAGGGGAATTTAAATTCAAAATGGGAATTGACACAGTTACTTTTTTGTCAGTACTGTGCTTATGGGGGGTTTTTAAAAAAAAAAGCAAAGGTTAGTGGAGAGTTTGGGAAAGTGTGTAAAAGGAGAAAGTTGAAAATGAAAATAGAAAAGAGTAAGGTGATGAGGGGGTCAATGATTTTGATAAAGAAAAAAATTTGGGTATCAAATTGGGGAGGAGGATATGGAAAAAGTGAATGTTTCAGATATTGGGGTTGCGTTCGGGGGATGGATTTATGAAAGGTGGGGTTAAACAAGAATTGATGGGGAAAAAAGGGGAGTGGGCGTTGAGGTTATTGGGTCAAAAAAGTTATCTAGGAGGCAAAGAAGGGAAAGTATAAGTATGTAGTACAAAAACTCTTAATGGGTTGAAACTGGGGGGGTAAATGCACGCGAGGAGACGGTTGGAGGGGTGGGATGTCCGTTTAAAGGGCAATGTTGGGGTAATATTAGCAGAAAATTCGGAGTGTGGAAATTAGGAGAAGGTGTGGAGTTAATAAAAGTATTAGTCAGAGGGCAGAAGAGGGTTTGTTGAGGTGGTTTGGTCATTTAGAGAGAATGGATCAAAGTAGAATGACATGGAAAGCATATAAATCTATAGGGGAAGGAAGGCGGGGTAGGGGTCGTCCTCGAAAGGGTTGGAGAGAGGGGGGGTAAAGGAGGTTTTGTGTGGTAAGGGGCTTGGACTTCCAGCAAGCGTGCATGAGCGTGTTAGATAGGAGTGAATGGAGACGAATGGTACTTGGGACCTGACGATCTGTTGGAGTGTGAGCAGGGTATATTTAGTGAGGGATTCAGGGAAACCGGTTATTTTCATATAGTCGGACTTGAGTCCTGGAAATGGGAAGTACAATGCCTGCACTTTAAAGGAGGGGTTTGGGATATTGGCAGTTTGGAGGGATATGTTGTGTGTCTTTATATGTGTATGCTTCTGGACTGTTGTATTCTGAGCACCTCTGCAAAAACAGTGATTATGTGCGAGTGTGGTGAAAGTGTTGAATGATGATGAAAGTATTTTCTTTTTGGGGATTTTCTTTCTTTTTTGGGTCACCCTGCCTCGGTGGGAGACGGCCGACTTGTTGAAAAAAAAAAAAAAAAAAAAATATATATACAGTGGACCCCCGCTTAACGATCACCTCCAAATGCGACCAATTATGTAAGCGTATTTATGTAAGTGCGTTTGTACGTGTATGTTTGGGGGTCTGAAATGGACTAATCTACTTCACAATATTCCTTATGGAAAAAAATTCGGTCAGTACTGGCACTGAACATACTACTGGAATGAAAAAAAGTTCGTTAACCGGGGGTCCATGTATATATATATTTTTTTTTTCAACAAGTCGGTCGTCTCCCACCGAGGCAGGGTGACCCAAAAAAGAAAGAAAATCCCCAAAAAGAAAATACTTTCATCATCATTCAACACTTTCACCACACTCGCACATAATCACTGTTTTGCAGAGGTGCTCAGAATACAACAGTCCAGAAGCATACACATATAAAGATACACAACATATCCCTCCAAACTGCCAATATCCCAAACTCTCCTTTAAAGTGCAGGCATTGTACTTCCCATTTCCAGGACTCAAGTCGACTATATGAAAATAACCGGTTTCCTTGAAATCCCTTCACTAAATATTACCTGCTCACACTCCATATATAAAATTTATATATATATATATATTATATATATATATATATATATATATATATATATATATATATATATATATTTATATATATATATTATATATATATATAATTAATATAATATAATATATATATATATAATATAATATATATAATATAATATATATAATAATATATATATAATATAATATAATATAATATAATATAATATATATAATATATAAATATATTAATATAATATATATAATATATATAATATATATAAATAATATATATATATATAATATAATATATATAATATATATAATGTATATAATGTATATAATGTATATTAATGTATATAATGTATATAATATAATAATATATATAATATATATATATATATATAATATAATATAATATATATAAATATAATATATAATATAATATATAATAAATATATAATATAATATATAATATATTAATATATAACATATTATATTATATAACATATATATGTATATATTACTAAATGTACAAGGAGAAACTTTTGTTTTTCCTTTTGGGCCACCCCACCTCGGTGGGATACGGCCGGTGTGCTGAAAGAAGAAAGATTTATGCTTCATCTAGGTAGTAGGTTGGTAGACAGCAACAACCCAGGGAGGTACTACTGTCCTGCCAAGTGAGTGTAAAACGAAAGCCTGTAATTGTTTTACATGATGGTAGGATTGCTGGTGTCCTTTTTTCTGTCTCATGAACATGCATGATTTCAGGTATGTCTTGCTACTTCTACTTACACTTAGGTCACACTACACATACATGTACAAGCATATATATACACACCCCTTTGGGTTTTCTTCTATTTTCTTTCTAGTTCTTGTTCTTGTTTAGTTCCTCTTATCTCCATGGGGAAGTGGAACAGAATTCTTCCTCCGTAAGCCATGCGTGTTGTAAGAGGCGACTAAAATGCCAGGAGCAAGGGGCTAGTAACCCCTTCTCCTGTATATATTACTAAATGTAAAAGGAGAAACTTTCGTTTTTCCTTTTAGGCCACCCCGCCTCGGTGGAATACGGCCGGTGTATTGAAAGAAAGAAAGAAAAGGAGAAACTTTCATTATTCCTTTTGGGCCACCCCGCCTCGGTGGGATACGGCTGGTGTGTTGAAAGAAAGAAAGACTTATGCTTCATATAGGGAGCAGGTTGGTAGACAGCAACCACCCAGGGAGGTACTACCGTCCTGCCAAGTGGGTGTAAAATGGAAACCTGTAATTGTTTTACATGATGGCAGGAGTGCTGGTGTCTTTTTTCCTGTCTCAAAAACACGCAAGATTTCAGGTATGTCTTGCCACTTCTACTTACACTAAGGTCACACTACACATACATGTACAAGCATATATACACACACCCAGCTAGGTTTTTTCAATTTTTTAATAGCACTTGTTCTTCTTAATTTCCATGGGGAAGTGGAAAATAATTCTTTACCCATAAGCCATGTATGTTGTAGGAGGCAACTAAAATGCTAGGAGCAAGGATGCAGTAACTCCCTTTTCCTGTATAAATTACTAAATGTAAAAGGAAAAAAACTTTTTGTTTTTCTTCTTGGGTCACCCTGCCTTGGTGGGATGCAGCCAGTGAGTTGAGGAAAAAATATGCCTCAGTTTACAACACATTTACATTTCCTGATGTAATAAAGAAATATAATTAAATTAAGCAATTCCCATGTCCACAGTTAATGTATGAGCTGTCAAACATAAATGCATTTTTTCCTAAACTAATACAGCCTGTCCTTGTCCTGGTTACCATAATATTGGACAAAGTATAAGCCATTTACTTTAATTATTTTAACTTTTAAATAACAAAATATTTTTTCAGGGTGAACTCACCTGCTGAATACTGTGCTGGTTGTGGAGTGTCAACACTCTTGAAAATACGCAGCAACAGATGACATGTCAAGCGTGCGCCTGGCTCTGCTTCTGGATTGCCCTCCCCTGTAAAAAAAATGAACAATAAAAGCAATTAATACTCCAATGAGGTATATGTGGAGACAAAAAATGTTATCTATGGAGGCAAAGAAGGGAATTTATGAAAGCATAGTAGTACCAACACTCTTATATGGGTGTGAAGCTTGGGTTGTAAATGCTGCAGCGAGGAGGCAGTTGGAGGCAGTGGAGATGTCCTGTCTAAGGGCAATGTGTGGTGTAAATATTATGCAGAAAATTCAGAGTGTGGAAATTAGGAGGAGGAGTGGAGTTAATAAAAGTATTAGTCAGAGGGCTGAAGAGGGGTTGTTGAGGTGCTTTGGTCATTTAGAGAGAATGGATCAGAGTAGAATGACATGGAGAGCGTATAAATCGGTAGGGGAAGGAAGGCGGGGTAGGGGTCGTCCTCGAAAAGGTTGGAGGGAGGAGATAAAGGAGGTTTTGTGGGTGAGGGGCTTGGACTTCCAGCAAGCATGCGTGAGCGTGTTAGATAGGAGTGAATGAAGACGAATGGTATTTGGGACCTGACGAGCTGTTGGAGTGTGAGCAGGGTAATATTTAGTGAAGGGATTCAGGGAAACCGGTTATTTTATATAGCTGGACTTGAGTCCTGGAAATGGGAAGTACAATGCCTGCACTCTTAAGGAGGGGTTTGGGATATTGGCAGTTTGGAGGGATATATTGTGTATTTTTATATGTATATACTTCTAAACTGTTGTATTCTGAGCACCTCTGCAAAAACAGTGATTATGTGTGAGTGAGGCAAAAGTGTTGAATGATGATGAAAGTATTTTCTTTTTGGGGATTTTCTTTCTTTTTGGGTCACCCTGCCTCGGTGGGAGACGGCCGACTTGTTAAAAAAAAAAATTTTTTATAAAAATTACCATAATATTGCAACATGAACTTAATGTCAAGCTTGTTAGGTAAGACACATATGCAACAGTTAGGTATCTTTATTTTCAAAACATTTCGCCTACACAGTAGGCTTCTTCAGTCGAGTACAGAAAAGTTGATAGAAGCAGAAGAGACTTGAAGATGATGTAATCAGTCCATCACCCTTGAAGTTTTGAGGTGGTCAGTCCCTCAGTCTGGAGAAGAGTATTGTTCCATAGTCTGAAACAATATGGAGTTGAAGTGATAGGATGAGCCTTATATAGTTTCAGACTATGGAACAATACTCTTCTCCAGACTGAGGGACTGACCACCTCAAAACTTCAAGGGTGATGGACTGATTACATCATCTTCAAGTCTCTTCTGCTTCTGTTAACTTTTCTGTACTCGACTGAAGAAGCCTACTGTGTAGGCGAAACGTTTTGAAAATAAAGATACCTAACTGTTGCGTATGTGTCTTACCTAACAACCTGTCGGTATTTTATACCATTTTATTGTTCAATGTCAAGCTTAAACAAAGGTAATGTGCCTCAAGTTTCAGTATAGTAGGGACACTATTGATTAAAAGCAAGTACTCGAATTTTAGAGATAAATGGTTTTTAAATTTTACAACAAATAAAGATGAATGGTTTTTAAATTGTAAAACCAATAATGAGACCAAAAACAGAATTTAAAGATATAAAGAAGCCATTCTCTGACTACTGTGTCTGCTAGTTATAAATATATGCATTAATGAGTAGTGCAAAGATTGTCCACAATGCCTGTAAAGTTATGACATAAGCAATAACTTTAGACATGGACAAACAGTCATTGACAGTTTCAGATGGAACAAAGATGCAAACACATGAATATATGGCTAGGAAAATATGATCCAACCTGAGTTCCATGCTGCCATCAGAGAGGGAAGAACAACACACTTGAGAAAATCAGGAAGTGTGAAACAATGGCGAGCAATAAGAATCGCAGTGAATACAGCCAAGGAGCTGTGAATAGTTGGCGTTGAATGTGGATCCCGAAGAGCAACTTGTGACAAAACTTCAATGTAACCGTGACTCTCCATGGATGAGCAACACAGCGCATTCAGAACCCCTATGTAAACAATATAAAAAAATTAGTACAATCTGTGAAGGGGTGGAAGAGTAAATGTTCACTAGTATCAAGAGTATCTCAACCAAAAGGAACAAAAATACACAATATTGTGACTGGAACAATACACAAATAACCTGCACATAGGAAAAAGAAGGTTATGACGATGTTTCGGTCCAACTTGGACTATGAGTAGTCATACCATTGACTGGTCACACCACATGACTAGCCAATGGTCCAAGTCAGACAGAAATGTCATCATAAGCTTCATTCTCTCATATGCAGGCTATTTGTGTATCTCGTCCAAATATAAATGCATGTTTAAGTCTCATTAAAATAATAAATGTCTGAACATACCTAACCATTCTGCAGAGAGAGCATTACATGAAGCAGTGAGTTCTGCACATAGGACAGCCATGTCATTCAGCTTTTCATTGGAAGTTTTGGAGGCACAAGCATCAATGATTGCATTACATACAAAACTATACCGGTTGCTAGGGTCAGACAGCTGTTTGATTATGCTGGAATCAACTTTTAACCTGGAAGAAAATATAAACAGTAAATCTTGTTAAAAAGTACTGTAGCTTATATACCACCTCCTAGTTGTAGGAGTAAGGTCATTGTAGCCATTATCATCACCTTAAATCCCACAGTAAGCAGATGGGAAAATACTGTCTGGTGATGATGAAAGGTATTGTATAAAGAGGAAGTCAAGATATTGGGTGCAACATTTAACATTTCAAAATACATTTTACTGTCAGCAGCACTACAGAGCATCTGAATATCCACACATCAGCAAATTATCCACAGGCTTAAAGTCTTAAGTACAGTAGTTTCATAACACTAAGGGCTTTCTTTTTCTTTTCTCTCTCTTTCTCTCTCTTTTTTGAGCAATGAATATTGTAAACTATATAAATACTTCAGTTTTGTCAGATGCTGCTTGTTAACATATCTAAAAATATCATCCAACAGAAAAAATACATAATAAATAGTAATAAACAAATCCATGATAAATAATGGATAATTTCAACATCAGACGATAAAAAATAAAAGTGGTGTAATTAATAGGAAAGCACGGATCTATAGTTAGTTAATGTTATGTGATAAAGTATTCATCCAGGAAGCTGTATGTTGTGACACTAAATCATTTGTAAATTTCATAAAATTTAATAATATTACAATAATTTTTTTTTAGTTTTGTTAGTACATCTTTACATAAATAAAAAAAAATATTGTGTAAAGAAGGAATCATGTGAGCACGAACCAGGGTTGGCCAAGTGGCAAACCATGATGGAATACAATGTACTGAGAAAAGGATTTTAATTCCAGTATATTATTGGTCATGATGGGCTCCAGTGTTGCATACAATCACATTTTACACAATAAACAGCCACACTTGAATTTGGGCTAAGGATTTAGACATGTAATCTAAAACTCTGTCAAAGCAACCAAGATTTCAAACTACTGTGAACCTAACAAATAATGGAGTAATTACATTATTATTATTATTATAATCAAGGGGGAAGTGCTAAACCCGAAGGATTATACAGCGCCTGGGGGGGTAGATGTGGAAGGCATTCAAGCTTAATTCAGGGAACTGGAGCATGCACAGATCCAATTCCCTAAATCAAGAGCCCCCTACCAACATCAAGGAACCTTCCTTGATGGGGGAGTAATTACAGATTTATTGACATTTACTGTGAGTGAATAATACTGAGGGGGTTTGTGATTAGGGTTGAATGTATCAGGGGTGAAGTGAAGTAAAAAAAAAGGGTGAAGCAACTGTAGTGGATTGAATTGGAGGTTGATCAAGAATGAGGTAATGAGCTGTGTGAATATGAGGACTGAAGGAACTGTTCGTAGAGATAGCAGATCAATAGAAAATATAGAGGACTATGGAGGGGGGGGAGGATGGAGGGAATGAATAAGAGTGGAGGGAGAGGAAAGGGAGGGATAAGAAGGGGAAAGAGGAGAAAGGAAAAGGAGAAAAGCTGGAAGGAGGAGGAGAGTGGTCAGGAATGGCACTAGAAGTGTAAAGTTTTGAGTTAATATTAAGGTTGTGAGGTTTTTTCTTAATGGCATGTGTAGTGAGAAATGTGCTTGAATGGTAGAGAAGTCATCTGAACTGAGGCTTGGAATGCCCATACTGGTGTGTTGGTGTAATAAAAACACTACTACAACTAATAATAATAATTTATTTCCACAAGGCACATTTTTTTTACAAAACCGAATGCCATTTAACAGCATATATAGAAAGCCTCAGGTTATGCAGGCATTTCAGGCAATCTTAAAAATTAACATGAGGTGAGAGATAACATTAGAAAGCACATAAACATGTATGATCAATGTAATGAGCCAGAAAACCATGTTGCAGATATGAAAATAGAAGGGAAAATCCCATTCATGATGCAACATCTGCATACTTTATAATAGAATTATTCCTTATTTTAATAAACTAGTTCACCGTGAAAATAAAAACTGTAATAATTCAAGACAAATACTTCATAAAACAAAGAGCAAATTCAGTCCCATTTTAAGAGTTAACCGTGTAAACTAGCAGTAAGGAAACACGTTTCATTTTTCAATCAGTTTTATATGTGCTGTCACTGTTTCATATCAGATCATAATTTTTTTTTAGAAAGATCCAGGCCCTGAATGCTTATAAAAGTGATCAAGTGTAGTAATAAGAGCTCCAAAAACTACATAAGGACTGATGACAAGATTTATGTAAGACCATTCTAAAACTTACTTAGGATTTTTTATGTACTCCTCCATAAACTGTGGAGACCATCGGTATGTTCCCTGTGCTGGGCTGATACTAGCATAAAGAGCTTGTTTGATTTTTGGGTACACTACTGAGAATAGCTCATGATGTTTTGACTGGAAAAATAGAATAGTAAACATTAGCTACAGTAAATATATCTTCACTAATAGGCTACCAATTCATAGGAACCTCAAAGATTTAAAACAGAAAATACTTTTTTCTTTTTTTTTTGCATATACTATGCTATAAGTAATGAATTACATAATTATATGGAAGAATGCTCTTCCAGATTATTATTGTAATTATTATAATTACTTTTTTAACTCACTGCCATCTTATTATTGTAATTATTATAATTACTTTTTTAACTCACTGCCATCTCCTGCCAAGGCAGGGTGAACCAAAGAAGAAAATGCATTCAATAACATTCACTCAACTGCTGTCTTTCAAGAAGTGTGCTGACATCACAGTCAGAGTATCTTCCGATATCAACATCCTCACCCCCTTTCAAAGTGCAGGCACTACCCTTCCCACCTGGTTTTCCTGAATCCGTTCATAAAAGTTACCCTGTCAAACTTCAACTAATTGTCTCCATGCCACTGCCTATATGTAATTATGATCATTGTCGTATCTAGGGGCAGCACTACACATACAGGGTCACACAGACCTAGGGAAGGAGGTGATCAGGTTTGATCCAAGGGAAGAGTACAGTGGACCCCCGCATAATGATCAGCTCCCAACTCGACCAGTTATGTAAGTGTATTTTTGTAAGTGCTTTTGAAGGTGTATTTTTGGGGGTCTGAAACGGACTAATCTAATTCACAATATCTCTTATGGGAACAAATTCGGTCTATAACGGCACCCAAACAGACTTCTGGATTGAAATAATATCGTTATGCGGGGGTCCACTGTATTTCCAATTGATTAATACAAGAGCCCTTAACCAGTATGAAGGCAGCCCTTTCCAGGAAGAGCCTTGCAGAACTTTAAAATTACAGCTACTTAATACATTCAAAAATATATCTCAATTCTAAAATATGTCTCAAAGTGGTTGGTAAATAACAAATTAAGATACTATACTTTAGATTTTCCAAGAAATGAAGACCAGTATAGCATATAACTTACCTTCAGGAAGGAACATGAAGCATAAAGCTCATAAAGGTATGCAAAAACCACTCGTTCAGGGGAGGTACAGTCTGAAGGGTTAGCCTTCACCAGGCGGCACAAACCTTCGAAGATAGCACAAGTCTGCTCCTGTGACACTGAGAAAAGTTCAAGATCAGCAATATTAAAGTTTAAATTATACATACAAATGCTGTATTGCATTGTTCCTTCATTCTTTTATGTTCAAAATTATCTCATGACACACACAACAAATACACAGACACTCACAATTTCACACACACAAAAAAAGGGGCACTTTGAGGACCAAAAGCTCTGCCAAAAGTAAGATGTTTCCTTTTAACCAGAAAGGAAAGAAACCACCTAATCTTGAAACCCCTCAAAAAACCGGGCTCTCCCCTTTTCATTCCTTTGTATGTGTGAGGGGGAGCTCACTGGAGGTCAAAATACTAACAACCATTATTTCCATTTTTGTATCATAAAGTCTTCACCGCACAAAATTTGTATTTTTCACGATGTATATGAATTCCTGTGTGGGGTTTGCAGGGCCGATCTAAAACTCCTGGCCCTACCCCAATTTCTGCTTCCAATTAACTTTTTTCCTAGTCCTGGGCCCATTCTTAAAACATGTATGGAGTCTGCCTCCCCCCATTTCTGAATGTATGTAAAAAAAATGTTGTTTTTTTTTTTTATTATCCCACTGCCGTTTCCCCACCAAGGCAGGGGGGCCCCGAAAAAAAAAATTTTCACCTCATCACTCCATCACCTTTCCGAAGGTTTTTTACACTACAGTTTTTAAATAAAAACATTAACACCCCTCCTTCAAGTGCAGGCACGTATTTCCCTTTCCCGGGACTCCCCGGGCCCTGCCTTTTCCCCGAACCCCTTCAAAATGTTACTTTGCCACACCCAACGCCGTAATCAAAAAACCCTTTTTTTTGCTCCATTCACTCCTATCAAACACCCTCGCATGCCTGTAAATCCAACCCCCTCGCACAAAAAACCCCCTTTTACCCCCCCCCCTCCAACCTTTCCTGGGCCCGACCCCACCCCGCCTTCCTTCACACAGACGATACACTTTTTGAATTTATTCTGTTTCCCCTCCATTCCCCACATGCCGAACCCCTCAAAAAACCCTTTCCCCTACCCTCTGGACAACTTTTTGGAAATCCGCACCTCCCCTAACTTCCAAACTCAATTTCTCTCTTTAAATTTTCCAACCACACATTGCCTCAACATGACTCTCCACTGCCTCACCCTTCCCCCCTCGCTGCAACTTTCACACCCATGCTTCACACCCATATAAGAGCTTGAAAAACTATACTCTCAACATTCCCTCTTTGCCTCCAAAGGGAAAGTTCTTTTTCTCCCCAGACTCCCCAAGTGCACCCTCCCCTTTTTCCCCCCCCACAATTCATGTTCACCCCATCTTTCATTAACCCCCCCGGGACACTCCAATCCCCAAAAATCGAATACATTACCTCCTCCATCTCCTCCCCCCCAAACGTATCCCAAACTTTCATCCCAATCTTTTTTATCCTATAAACCTTTCCTTTCCCGTATTCATTTCAAATTTTTTTTCTTTTCACCCCTACAAAATTTATCCACCCAAACTCTGCAAATTCTTTCAGAAACCCCAAGCACAGTGCTCAGCAAAAAGCAACTGTGACCCTCCCCCTTTATGTGTGATTCTTTAATTTTAATTCCGCCCCTTGCCCAAAACCCTCACATTTACTTCTCGTACAACCCATCTAAAATTATAAACAACACGGTGGGAAACAACACCTTTCTAAGGGCCCACTTTTTTGGGAAAAATTTCCCTCTTTCCACATACCAACTTTAGCCCACTATCCTCGTAAAAACTCTTCATGCTTTCAGAACCACCTCCTAACCCTACACCTGCAACATCTGCCCCATTGCCCCCCACCACCTTCATATGCCTTTCCAAATAAAAAAATGCCACAAAAACCTTTAGCCCTTAAATACTGTTTACTTTTAGTTTCCCGTAACGCCTGGTCCAAACCCCCCACCTTTTCCCCAAACCCCTTGTTCATCGCTTCCTAATTTTCCCCTCTTACCTTAATTCTTTCAAAAATAACTCTACCTACACTTTGCCCGGTATCTCAAAAACTTCCCCCCATAATTTTTTTCACCTCTTTTATCCCCCTTTTCCTTTACAAAGGAAAAATATGCAGCTCCTGCCAAACCCCAGGTACCTTACCCTCTTCCCTACATTTATTAAAAATTGCCCCAAACCACCCCAAAAATATATCCCCACCCCTTTTAACATTTTTACTTTTTCCATCAATCCCCCTGCCTACCCCCTTTCATTTTACCTCTGCCCCCACGAACTTCCCCCAATCACAATCTCTTTCACCCTAAGATGTTTTCCTCCTTGCCTTATACACAAAATCACAGCTTCCCCATCTTTATAACATTTAACAATTTCCCAAAATATTCCCTCCATCTTCCCCCTACCTCTAACTCTCCCTTTAAAAACTCTCCTCCCTATTTTTAACTGACAAATCCATTTGTTCTCTAGGCTTTTTTTAAATTATTAATTCACTCCAAAACTTTTTCTTTTTTTCAACAAAATTGTTTATAAAATCTCACCCACTCTCTCTTTGCTCTCTTTTACATTGCTTCACCACTCTCTAACCTATGTATGTAGATTAAATGATGTGATATTCCTAGTGTAGGCTGGTAGACAGCAAAACCCCCCAAGGGGATACTATGCCCGCAAACGAGTGTAAAAAAAAAAGCCCGTAATTTTTTTACATATGGGAGGGTTGCTGGTTCTTTTTTTTTTGTCTCATACTATGCAAAATTTTAGGTCACTTTCTACTTCTACTTCTTAAAGGGCCCCACTACACATGCTTGTACAAGCATATTATAACATCAAAAAGGTATACAATCCGAAGGTTTTTAGGTAAACACGTAGCAAAAGTTTTACAAATTTTTTTCCGAAAGTTTGCCTACACATAGGGTTCTTCAGTCGAATACAGAAAGTAGCAGGAACGTAGAGATGGAAAACGATGTAAATCAGTCCATCCCCTGAAGTCGAGAATTTAAGGTTTTCAGTCCCTCCCTGGGGAAGTTCAAAACCCTATAGGAAAAAAGTTGTCTAAAAATGTTGCAAGTGTCTTACCTAAAAACATATATATACACACCCTTTGGGGTTTTTCCTTTTTTTTTAAGTTTTTTTTTTGGATGTACTATCATGGGGAAAAAAAAACCCCCAAAAACCCCGCGGTCGAAAGGGCCCAAAAAGAGGAAAAGGGGTGAATTTTCGATTTTTAACAATTTTTAAAAAAAGGAAAATTTTTTTTTTTTTTTCCCCCCCCTTTGAGATACGGGGTGTTTAAAAAAAGAAAATAAAAAGTTATTTTTTTTTCCATGCCCAATTTCCAAGGAGGTGAAACAAAAAAATTAACATTAATTAACGTTTAGAAAAGTAGAAAATTTAATTCATTGATAAACCTTTTAGAGGGGGCCCTTGCCCCCCCATTGGAAATAAAAAATTTTTACCCTGACCCTTTAAAATTTACCTTGGTTCCCCTCCAACAGACATCCATTGTCTCGTTTATTCCAACTTCCATTGTTTCCGTTCATTCTATCTTCCACTTGCTCCGTTCATTCCTATCTTCCACTTGTCTCCGTTCATTCCTATCTTCCACTTGTCCCCATTCACTCCTATCTTCCACTTGTCTCCATTCACTCCTATCTCCACCTGTCTCCATTCACTCCTATCTTCCACTTGTCTCCATTCACTCCTATCTTACACATGTCTCCATTCACTCCTATCTTCCACCTGTCTCCATTCACTCCTATCTAACACACTCACACAAGCCTTCTGGATGATCAAGCCTCTGAAACTCAGCCTCTTTTCCCCCCCCCCTCTCACCCACCATTCCTGAGACCTCTACCCCTCCTTCCTTTCAACAGTGACTTATACACCCTCTAGGTCATCCTGTTCTCCTCCATTCTCTATAAATGCCCCAACCATTTCAACAACTCCTCCACAGCCCTCTGAATTATACCTGCAAACCCCACATATTCTTCTAATTTCTACTCTTTGAATTCTCTGCATAATATTCACACCACATGGAATTTAATTTAAAAAATCATAAAAAATGACTGACTTACCAAGCAAACAACAATGATACTTCCTGAGAACACCAACAACATGAAGGAGAAGAGCTGGGCAATACCAGCCAGCTAAGCAGCCCCGCTCTACCAGCTGAGCCTCTATTTCACTAACCTCTTTGATCATCTGAAATGTATAACATTACAGGATAACAATATTTATTTCTGAATCTCTCACGTTATTCCTTAGATGTACATACGTTCCTGCATACTGTGTACCAGTACACACTCGCAACACAAAGGTAACCTTACCAAGGAAATAGATACGTGGAATCATCAAGAAATTTATATATATACACCTACCATCCGACTTATGACCGAGTTCGGTTCCGAGAAACCGGTCGTAAGTCGAAATGGTCGTAAGTCGAACTTTACTACTGAATATCAACAAAACATTTCTGTAATGACTTTATTTTATTGTTTTATTTTGGTATTTCTTACTGAGTATACTTACTGAGTATACCAGGAAAAGTGTACGGTAGGGTTATAATTGAAAGAATTAGAGGTAAGACAGAATGTAGGATTGCGGATGAGCAAGGAGGTTTCAGAGTGGGTAGGGGATGTGTAGATCAAGTGTTTACATTGAAGCATATATGTGAACAGTATTTAGATAAAGGTAGGGAAGTTTTTATTGCATTTATGGATTTAGAAAAAGCATATGATAGAGTGGATAGAGGAGCAATGTGGCAGATGTTGCAAGTATATGAAATAGGTGGTAAGTTATTAAATGCTGTAAAAGTTTTTATGAGGATAGTGAGGCTCAGGTTAGGGTGTGTAGAAGAGAGGAGACTACATCCCGGTTAAAGTAGGTCTTAGACAGGGATGTGTAATGTCACCATGGTTGTTTAATTATTTATAGATGGGGTTGTAAAGGAAGTAAATGCGAGGGTGTTCGGGAGAGGGGTGGGATTAAATTTTGGGGAATCAAATTCAAATGGGAATTGACACAGTTATTTTTTTGCTGATGATACTGTGCTTATGGGAGATTCTAAAGAAAAATTGCAAAGGTTATGTGGATGAGTTTGGGAATGTGTGTAAAGGTAGAAAGTTGAAAGTGAACATAGAAAAGAGTAAGGTGATGAGGGTGTCAAATGATTTAGATAAAGAAAAATTGGATATCAAATTGGGAGGAGGAGTATGGAAGAAGTGAATGTTTTCAGATATTTGGGAGTTGACTTGTCGGCGGATGGATTTATGAAGGATGAGGTTAATCATAGAATTGATGAGGGAAAAAAGGTGAATGGTGAGGTTGGGTATATGTGGAGTCAAAAACGTTATCATGGAGGCAAAAAAGGGGAAATGTATGAAAGTATAGTAGTACCAACACTCTTATATGGGTGTGAAGCTTGGGTGGTAAATGCAGCAGCGAGGAGACGGTTGGAGGCAGTGGAGATGTCCTGTTTAAGGGCAATGTGTGGTGTAAATATTATGCAGAAAATTCGGAGTGTGGAAATTAGGAAAAGGTGTAGAGTTAATAAAAGTATTAGTCAGAGGGCAGAAGAGGGGTTGTTGAGGTGGTTTGGTCATTTAGAGAGAATAGATCAAAGTAGAATGACATGGAAAACATAAAAAATCTATAGGGAAAGGAAGGCGGGGTAAGGGTCGTCCTCGAAAGGGTTGGAGAGAGGGGGTAAAGGGAGGTTTTGTGGGCAAGGGGCTTGGACTTCCAGCAAGCGTGCGTGAGTGTGTTAGATAGGAGTGAATGGAGACGAATGGTACTTGGGACCTGACGATCTGTTGGAGTGTGAGCAGGGTAATATTTAGTAAAGGGGATTCAGGGAAACCAGTTATTTTCATATAGTCGGACTTGAGTCCTGGAAATGGGAAGTACAATGCCTGCACTTTAAAGGAGGGGTTTGGGATATTGGCAGTTTGGAGGGATATGTTGTGTATCTTTATATGTGTATGCTTCTAGACTGTTGTATTCTGAGCACCTCTGCAAAAACAGTGATAATGTGCGAGTGTGGTGAAAGTGTTGAATGATGATGAAAGTATTTTCTTTTTGGGGATTTTCTTTCTTTTTTGGGTCACCCTGCCTCGGTGGGAGACGGCCGACTTGTTGAAAAAAAAAAAAAATATATATATATATATATATGCAATCAGATCACAGTAAACAGGTGATTTCAGAATATGCAAAACAACCACTCTGAAAGAATAGAGAAATTCCAAGCGCTTGGAATTTCTCTATTCTTTCAGAGTGGTTGTTCTGGCGCGCGCATATATATATATATATATATATATTAATATATATATATATTATATATATATATATATATTATATATATATATATATATATATATATATTTATATATATATATATATATATATATATATATATATAATATATATTATATATATAATATATATATATATATATTATATATATATATATATATATATATATATATATATATATATATATATATATATATATATATATATATATATTATATATATATAATAATATATATTAATATAAAATATATATATATATATAATATATATATATATATAATATATATATATATATATATATAATATATATATTATATTTATATATTCTAGGTAGTAGGTTGGTAGACAGCAACCGCCCAGAGAGGTACTACCGTCCTGCCAAGTGAGTGTATAATGAAAGCCTGTAATTGTTTTACATGATGGTAGGATTGCAGGTGTCCTTTTTTCTGTCTCATGAACATGCAAGATTTCAGGTATGTCTTGCTACTTCTACTTACACTTAGGTCACACTACACATACATGTACAAGCACATATATACACACCCTTCTGGGTTTTCTTCTATTTTCTTTTTAGTTCTTATTCTTGTTTATTTCCTCTTATCTCCATGGGGAAGTGGAACAGAATTCTTCCTCCGTAAGCCATGCATGTTGTAAGAGGCAACTAAAATGCCGGGAGCAAGGGGCTAGTAACCTCTTCTCCTGTATATATTACTAAATGTAAAAGGAGAAACTTTCGTTTTTCCTTTTGGGCCACCCCGCCTCGGTGGGATACGGCCGGTGTGTTGAAAGAAAGATATATATGATATAGGTAGCAGGTTGGTAGACAGCAACCACCCAGGGAGGTACTACCGTCCTGCCAAGTGAGTGTAAAATGAAAGCCTGTAATTGTTTTACATGATAGTAGGATTGCTGGTGTCCATTTTTCTGTCTCATAAACATGCAAGATTTCAGGTACGTCTTGCTACTTCTACTTACACTTAGGTCACACTATACATACATGTACAAGCATATATACACACACCCCTCTGGGTTTTCTTTCTAGTTCTTGTCCTTATTTCCTCTTACCTCCATTGGGAAGTGGAACAGAATTCTTCCTCCGTAAGCCATGTCGTATTGTAAGAGGCGACTAAAATGCCTGGAGTAAGGGGTTAGTAACCCCTTCTCCTGTATAAATTACTAAATTTGAAAAGAGAAACTTTTGTTTTTCTTTTTGGGCCACCCTGCCTCGGTGGGATACGGCTGGTTTGTTGAAAAAAAAATATATATATATATGTATGAGTGAGCGAGGTGAAAGTGTTGAATGATGATGAAAGTATTTTCTTTTTGGGGATTTTTTCTTTCTTTTTGAGTCACCCTGCCTCGGTGGAAAACGGCCAACTTGTTAAAAAAAAAAAATCAAACTAATAATAGATAATCTACAGATAACAATGCTCACAGACCTGAATGCAGAGTTCAATGAGACCATGAACATTGAGTGCCACTTCCATGAGGTCCATCAGGAAGGCAATGTGATCATGGGTTGGCAGGTAGTTGGACATGCCAGAACCACAGCCTGACAACATCTCGAGAACCTGGACAAAATACCCTCTAATTAGTATGATACTATAATGAGATCAATGAGAAGTTTAGGAGAGCTGTTAAGAAAAAATAAGGACGATTTTGAATAATGGCTCGAGGTTGATGCGAATGATCCAGCTTATTGTATTCAATTGGACAAGACTGCCCAGATAGCTTCTACCAATGAAGTGGAGAATCTGGATGAAGATAAAAGATATTTTCATGGTGAACAAAATAGAATACAATTCCTATTCTAAATGTGTAGATTTACTTATTAATCTTCCATTTATAACTGATAATAATGACCTGTGACATATCCACAACAGGTTAAAGGAGCTCCTCTACTCCCATAGTACAGCCTGCACCAAGACTTCCCTGGTAACTGAATTATCAGTCAGCTGTCGTTTCCTGTGGCCCTCAAGCCTACAAAACCATTACATCCTGTCTGATCAGGTACTACTGCAAAAAACTGTACAATTTATCTTGTGAAGACTTCTACATTTATGCTGAGCCTATTTCTTATTTCTTATATTGTATTTGCTAGCAGAATATAGAAGAGTCAAGAACCTTAGATGTTAGCATTGTTATAATAATGCATTAGTGTGCTGATAAAATACCTGGCATTCAAGTACTTTCCATTTAGAGATTTGAGATCTCTCAGCTCTATTCTTGAGAGCATATACAATCTGAGCATTCCTGAAGGAGTTATTATCTACTTGAAGATGATCAAAAACTTATTCAAAAAAGAGGTTACTGGGGATCAAAATTATAAAAGAAAATGAATAAATTTGTGCACTTATTTAACACATTATAAAAATCTTTTAAACAGAGCAGTTTTGCATAGAATGGAACCTTTTTCGGCACCTGTTAACCGCACTATGAGAGGTATTCCTGTACTCCCCACCCTAATCCTCAAAAACATAATTTTTGCCCCACACCACACCCTGCATTATTCAATATTCGGTGTACAGTACCATAATTCATAAATAAAACAAAAATACCTATTTCAGAAAATAAAAAAAATCTCTATTTTTTACATTTTTACTCATCAAAATCCAAAGAAATCTATGTACTCAAAACTCTGAGTAATGATAAGTCAAAGAATCATTCAGTCATACTGTATTAGGAAAAAAGGAGAGGTTTTAATGACTGACCTGAGAAGCCACAGTACTAGTGATGTGATGCTGATCAAAGTAAGAAAGACCACAAAATTTACTCAAAATAGCCTCAAAGTTGAAGTCTCCCCTCGAAGATTTTTTAACTTTGCCACCTGAAAAAAATATTACACATTACAAAAAACATTTAAAAGAAAGAAAAAGATCAGATGGAAGAACATAAGAAATCTCACTGCTATTCCCCATTATTAATTGACAAAGATAATGACTATTTGGATTATTAACCCAGAGTGTTAGTAACCTAGGATAACACAAAAATCAATCAGTGTGGCCTATTTCCTTGCAGTCTTTTGGTCTTCTTCCCCAAGATACCTCAAAAGTTGCCTAACGCCAAAGTTCCTACCTACTGTTAGGTAAATAGAGCAGCAGATGTAGGGAAACCTGCCCAACATGTCCATCCAACCCAGGTTCGAAGAACCAACAATGCACAGTTGATGTTTACCTTCAGCAATATCAATGCTGTACTTCTTGCTAAACAACTTGCAAATTTCCTTAGTAAGCTTCTTCACTGCAGCTCGTGCTTCATCCCTAGTCTTGCCTACACCATACAGCAACACGTACCGCTGAAAATAGTATCTTATCTTCAACATTCAGATATATAAAATACAATACATTAAGTAAAAGACATTTGGAAGAATTTATGAGTTAATATGTACTTGCCAACAAGAAAGATATATGTCAAAATGAATTCAGTGCCTCTCTACAGCAGTGCTTTGATACTGGTGAAAGGCTTCATACAAGAACCTGGAGCTACTCTCCCATTCCTTGGATCAAACATGAATACCTCCCATTCCTCAGACAATGTATAATCTCTTCAGGTTCAGTGCTTTCCCATGAATACCGTAATAATAATAATAAATAATAATCAACTATTGTTAGTTATAAAAATAATTAAACTTTTTTTAGTACTGTTAGTACAGTGGAACCTCAAATTTCGAACGTATCACTTATCAAACTCTTCGAAAATCAAACACTTTTTTCAAACCAACTTTGTCCCTATTATCAAACTCGCCCCTATTTTCCAAATGCCGGGTACCAGACCTACCTGGCAGCCTGCTCTGTCCACATCCCCACACAGGCGCCATGAGCCAGTCTGGTTTTGTTGATGCTTGAGTGAACACTAATCTGCACTCTCATTCAAACATTTTACGATTATTTCATAGTGTTTAGTGCTTGTGGGACTGTGAAATAAGCTACCATGGGCACAAAGAAATTTGCTAGTGGTACCCCTGTGCTAAAGAAAGTGAGAAACAACATAGATGTGAAGAAGAAAATAATACAGAAGTATGAGGGTGGTGTGAGACTTGAGTTTGCCAAGATGTATGGGAAAAACAAGTCGATCATCGGTTCTATCCTGGCAAAGAAAGAACAAATCAAGGAAGCTGATGTTGCAAAAGGTGTTACTATGCTAACCAAAAAAAGACCACAGACAATCGATCAGGTTGAGAAGTTGTTGCTGGTGTGGATCAAGGATAAAGAGATGGCAGGTGATAGTGTTTCAGAGACCATTATTTGCGAAAAGGCAAGGAAGTTGCATGCCGATCTGGTACAGAAAACTCCTGGAACCAGTGTTCATAGTGAATTTAAGGCTAGCAAAGGCTGGTTTGACAGATTTAAGAGCATAGTGGCATACACTTTGCAACAAGTTCAGTGACAAACCATGCCCCATTTTAGGGAAATCTTAAAGAGGTGCCAGAAACAGAGGACTGTGGACAATTATTGTGTGAGACAGGGGATGGGTCTATGAAAGATGAGGTGAATCATAGAATTGATGAAGGGAAAAGGGTGAGAAGTGCACTTAGGAGTCTGTGGAGACAAAGAACTTTGTCCTTGGAGGCAAAGAAGGTAATGTATGAGAGTATAGTTTTACCAACGCTCTTATATGGGTGTGAAGCATGGGTGATGAATGTTGCAGTGAGGAGAAGGCTGGAGGCAGTGGAGATGTCATGTCTGAGGGCAATGTGTGGTGTGAATATAATGCAGAGAATTCGTAGTTTGGAAGTTAGGAGGAGGTGCGGATTACCAAAACTGTTGTCCAGAGGGCTGAGGAAGGGTTGTTGAGGTGGTTCGGACATGTAGAGAGAATGGAGCGAAACAGAGTGACTTCAAGAGTGTATCAGTCTGTAGTGGAAGGAAGGCGGGGTAGGGGTTGGCCTAGGAAAGGTTGGAGGGAGGGGGTAAAGGAGGTTTTGTGTGCGAGGGGCTTGGACTTCCAGCAGGCATGCGTGAGCGTGTTTGATAGGAGTGAATGGAGACAAATGGGTTTTAATACTTGACGTGCTGTTGGAGTGTGAGCAAAGTAACATTTATGAAGGGGTTCAGGGAAACCGGCAGGCCGGACTTGAGTCCTGGAGATGGGAAGTACAGTGTAAAGCACACTTCTGGCAAGACAGTGATGGAGTGAATGATGGTGGAAGTTTTTCTTTTTCGGGTCACCCTGCCTTGGTGGGAATCGGCCAGTGTGATAATAAAAAAAAATAATAAACAGGGGTCCAGTGACTCTCAAGCTGGTCCTATTGGCATTAAAAGACAGAGAAGGGAAGTAACCCCAGAGAGGGCTTTGATACCTGAAGTCCTCATGGAGGGGGATTCTCCTTCCAAACACTAACCCCAACTCCCTCTCTCCTCCTCCCTATCTTCCAGATGCCATCACCAATCTTCAATAAAGGTAAGTAAAAATGTTATTTTTATTATGTTTATTTTACTATTTATTTTTAATTTTACATAATTGTACAATTTATATAATTTGTTGTGCCGTTATGTATTTGATCACTGTAAGTTAATCATAAATAAAATGTATTTTTTTGTGACATGTATGTTTGGGGTTTCTGAAATTAATATTACTTCACATTATTTCTTATGGGAAAAAATTCGGCCAGTACTGTCACCTGAAATACTAGCTCTGGAAGATGAAGTTCGATTATCGAGGTTCCACTGTATATCCTTTTTTTTTTTTGCATTGAACTTAAAAAAAAAAAGGATGATGTAACAGTAAGTCTTGCAGGAATAGAAGCCTTAAGTTATGGGCAAACTCTTGGTTGTCACTGCCATGGATTTTTATGCCATGGACTCAAGAGGCACAATGCCTTCCCTCTCCCATGCTGCCTACAGTTGCTTTCTAGGAGCATGGCATGCCTTACTCAGTGTGTGTACTGATCCAACTGTTGTCAGCAATGTATCCCATTATTATAATAATACAACTACTGAAAACTCTGCATCCATATCAACACAAGAACTACAATCATCCACCCCAGCCCAGTAAAGCCACATCGCCCCACTCTACAAATTTCAGTATCAACAAGAAATAACAACTAGAATGTAAAGTAAGATAAACTCTATTAATCTGTATACAGAAGAATATTTAAAAAAAAACTGTTCTTCACTTCATATAAGGCACTTGTGTAAAGTGAAGAATACTCTCATAACACTCCTGTGTTATGAGAGCATTTACCACTATTAGTTGCAAAATCTTATGAAACTGAATATGTGCATTACACATATAAACAGCAGGGGCAGTGCCAAGGATGGGGCTTCAGCCCCCTAAATTCCTTGGCCCCCCTGGCACTGTCTGAGCAAAAGGCTAGTAACACCTTCTCCTGTATTTTTTTTTTTTTTTGTAACAAGTTGGCTATCTCCCACCGAGGCAGGGTGACCCAAAAAGAAAGAAAATTCTCAAAAATAAAATACTTTCATCATCATTCAACACTCTCACCTCATTCACACATAATCACTGTTTTTGCAGAGGTGCTCAGAATACAACAGCTTAGAAGAATATACGTATAAAGATACACAACACATCCCTCCAAACTGCCAATATCCCAAACCCTCCTTTAATAAAGTGCAGGCATTGTACTTCCTGTTGCAACCCCTGAATGGGTTACAATGATTATTATGTATATATATAATGTATATTATCTTTTCATATAATTTTATATTGCTTATATTTGCGATAATAGCTAAATCGTAAATATATTGCTTTATATTCTTATTTGACTTATGTTGTTAGGATGTACATATGTGCTCAGTTCAAGTCTTGATTGTCAAACTACTATAATTATCGCTTGTCGCTCGTTATACTGCCGGCTTCTGAGCTGTGCTGTCCACTGGGCTATCACGTGATCGAGGGGGGGGGGGTGTCCTCACCTCTCGTGAAGTATTCAGTCTGCTCAAGACTCTCTTGGTGGTTGTACAGATTGTCTGTCTCATTATTCTTGTTAGTTCTGTAGAACTCTGTTCACAGAACATTGTATAGACTTAGTGATTTTCGACGTTGTACTGAGGTTGTGTGTCGCTTAGACACTCTGAACATCTCAGGTCCTTAGCTATAGCTTCTGACCTAATTTTGTACTGGTTTCTGTGTATTGTCACAGTCAGGGTTTTTCCTATGCTGAACTTATATTCAGTAGTATGGGAGTTTTGTAACTTTTGTGGAGGATCTGCTGATGGTCCCTACTTAGTGTCGTTATATTATCTCCTTGATCCTGATTGTGTCGCAGTCGCTTGTTATATGGCTATTGGGCTTAGCATTCTTTTCATTGTTCAAGCAGACTGTTCTGGTTGCCAGTCGGTCAAGAAGTTAGTTTATGTGAGGACTTTGTCAGTCACTTGTTTAAGTCTAGTCGAGTCGTGAGACATAGCGAACTACTTAGAGCACTTACACACATACACACTTACTTGTACATATTTGTAATATCTTATTAAATGTTAATGTACCAGACGGTACTTAAGAATTATAAATGTGATATGTGCTTTCAGCACAATAATATTGAACTCGAGAGATTGATTTTATTTTGATTGCTGTGATTAATTTAATTTGATAATATACCTCTAGACTTAATAAATTTATTAAATTTTAATTTCTCTAGTTAGTAGCCTACCAGTTGTAATCCTGAAGCACTATTGAATAATACTGAATTTTAATGGATAATTGGACAAGGATACTGACTACTTGTTACGAAAACCCAGTAACAGGCTGGATGCTAGAAGGGCAGTCCTTTCTAGTATTCACTGGAGATCTCTAAGCTTTTAGAATCGCGTTTTTTGTAACACTTCCCATTTCCAGTACTCAAGTCCGGCTATATTAAAATAACCGGTTTTTCTGAATCCCTTTACTAAATATTACCCTGCTCACACTCCAAAAGCTCGTCAGGTCCCAAATACCATTCGTCTCCATTCACTCCTATCTAACACGCTCACGCACACTTGCTGGAAGTCCAAGCCCCTCGCCCACAAAACCTCCTTTACCCCCTCCCTCCAACCTTTTCAAGGACAACCCCTACCTCGCCTTCCTTCCCCTATAGATTTTAAAGCTCTCCATATCATTCTACTCTGATTCATTCTTTCTAAATGACCAAACCACCTCAACAACCCCTCTTCAGCCCTCTGACTAATACTTTTATTAACTCCACACCTTCTCCTAATTTCCACACTCTGAATTTTCTGCATAATATTTACACCACACATTGCCCTTAGACAGGACATCTCCACTGCCTCCAACCATCTCCTTGCTGCAGCACTTACAACCCAAGCTTCAAACCCATATAAGAGTGTTGGTACCACTATACTTTTATACATTCCCTTCTTTGCCTCCATAGATAATGGTTTTTGTCTCCACGTATACCTCAACACACCACTCACCTTTTTTCCTTCATCAATTCCATGGTTAATCTCATCCTTCATAAATCCATCCGCTGACACGTCAACTCCCAAATACCTGAAAACATTCACTTCTTCCATACTCCTCCTCTCCAATGTGATATCCAATTTTTCTTTATCTAAATCATTTGATAACCTCATCACCATACTCTTATCTATGTTCATTTTCAACTTTCTACCTTTACACACTCTCCCAAACTCGTCCACTAACTTTTGCAATTTTTCTTTAGAATCTCCCATAAACACAGTATCATCAGCAAAAAGTAACTGTGTCAATTCCCATTTTGTATTTGATTCCCCATAATTTAATCCCACCCCTCTCCCAAACACCCTAGCATTTACTTCTTTTACAACCCTATCTATAAATATATTAAACAACCATGGTGACATTACACATCCCTGTCTAAGACTTACTTTTACCGGGAATTAGTCTCCCTCTCTTCTACACACCCTAACCTCTTCTACACATCTCTTTACAGCATTTAGTAACTTACTACCTATTCCATATACTTGCAACATCTGCCACATTGCTCCCCTATCCACTCTATCATATACCTTTTCTAAATTCATTAATGCAATGAAAACTCCCCTACTTTTATCTAAATACTGTTCACATATATGCTTCAATGTAAACACTTGATCTACATCCCCTACCCACTCTAAGACCTCCTTGCTCATTTGCAATCCTACATTCTGTCTTACCTCTAATTCTTTCAAATATCATAACTATTTCGCTAGAACTCCATTTTTTCTATCGAATGAGTACAAGAAACCACCCATTTACCGATTTCAACTATCCAATACAGTGGTCAGAATTTAGCAATTTTGCCAATTTCACACAAATTTCAAAATATGCCAATTTCCGAATAGGGTCCAGAATAAACAAGACATACATTCTTGGCTGTAAAATAACATTTCCTCTGTTCATTAGTCATGTCCCCATGCCCCTCTTACATTCTTTTGCTTTCCACTTTGAATTTTTATTCTCACAAAAAAATAGAAGATTTATGGTTATGCAGACTACTGCATTGATGTAGAAATGGTATAAATAATATCAGCGCACTTGTGAAAGAATATTAGACTCACCAGTTGACGTGTATTGGACACATAGCATGATTTGTTTGCTTTTGAACTTTGGTAAAAATCGAACATTTCTGCTACTTTGAGCTCAATTTCAAGGTACTTTTCTTTGTAAAAACCAGTCAAATTCACCTCAATTTCTGTAATATGTCTTCCATTCTATAAAATGAGACCAGGAAAACTAGAATACAACAATAAATACCATACGAAAATATAGTGCAAAGTCGCTGTTTTAATCCAAAAATACAGACAAAGTTTTTTTTTTTCTGATTACGCACTGTGTGCTGCAGGATTTTTTTTATACTGCGCACACTGACCACATAGACCCATTCTTTCATATGTAGGCCTACCAGCTTTCTCTCACTAGATTTGAGGGCGCTAGAATTTTGGCGTACTAGTACGTCAAAAACCCTGGCTCGTAAGCCGTACTAGTACGGCCGAAACCCTGAAAGGGTTAACATTTCTGTCATGATCCCATCAGTTCCAGCTGCTTTACCCCCTTTCATTCTATGAAATGCCTCACGCACCTCCCCCACACTCACATCCTGCTCTTTTTCATTCCTAAAAGATGGTAAACCTCCCTGGCCAATGCACAAAATTACCGCCTCCCTTTCTTCGTCGACATTTAAAAGTTCCTCAAAATATTCTTGCCATCTACCCAATACCTCCAGCACCCCATCAACTAACTCCCCCACTCTGTTTTTAACTGACAAATCCATTCGTTCCCTAGGCTTTCTTAACTTGTTTAACTCACTCCAAATTTTTTTCTTATTTTCATTAAAATTTCTTGACAGTGCCTCTCCCACTCTATCATCTGCTCTCCTTTTGCACTCTCTCACCACTCTCTTCACCTTTCTTTTACTCTCCATATACTCTGCTCTTCTTATAACACTTTTGCTTTGTAAAAACCTCTCATAAACTACCTTTTTCTCTTTTATCACACTCTTTACTTCATCATTCCACCAATCACTCCTCTTTCCTCCTGCACCCACCCTTCTATAACCACAAACTTCTGCCCCACATTCTAATACTGCACTTTTAAAACTATTCCAATCCTCTTCAACCCCCCCCCCCCACTACTCATACTTGCACTAGTCCACCTTTCTGCCAATAGTTGCTTATATCTCACCCGAACTTCCTCCTCCCTTAGTTTATACACTTTCACCTCTCTCTTACTTATTGTTGCCATTTTCCTCTTGTCCATGCCTCTTACTCTAACTGTAGCTACAACTAAATAATGATCCGATATATCAGTTGCCCCTCTATAAACATGTACATCCTGGAGCCTACCCATCAACCATTTATCCACCAATACATAATCTAACAAACTACTTTTATTACGTGCTATATCATACCTTGTATATTTATTTATCCTCTTTTTCATAAAATGTGTATTACTTATTACCAAACCTCTTTCTACACATAGCTCAATTAAAGGCTCCCCCATTTTCATTTACTTTAGCACCCCAAATTTACCTACTATTCCCTCCACAAAATTTTTACCCACTTTAGCATTGAAATCCCCAACCACAAGTACTCTCACACTTGATTCAAAACTCCCCATGCATTCACTCAACATTTCCCAAAATCTCTCTCTCTCTCCTCTACACTTCTCTCTTCTCCTAGTGCATATACACTTAATATAACCCACTTTTCACATCCAACCTTTATTTTACTCCACATAATCCTTGAATTAATACATTTATACTCCCTCTTTTCCTGCCATAGCTTAGCCTGTATATATTACTAAATGTAAAAGGAGAAACTTTCGTTCTTTCCATTGGGCCACCCCGCCTTGGTGGGATACGGCCGGTGCATTAAAAGAAAGAAGAATCTGGCACTGTCTGCCATGATCTCACCTGATTTATCTCATGCATGTAAGCATCATCTTGTGGCAGAGGGAAATGTTGTGCGTACACCAAGTGTCTGGGAGGTCTTTGTTTACCTTCTCCTCGAAGCTCTCCTCTTCCTCCCGTGCCAGACTCTTCCAGACTAGTGTCTACGGCAATTTTTTGAACCATCTTTCCGAGATCTTCATCAATATTGTCTGTCCCATCCTAAGACAATATATTTAAGATCTGAATTGTTTTTAATTACTTATTGCAAAAGTCACTAACTATGATACTTTCTTCTGTTACATTTTTAGTTATTCTATTTTTGCAGTGAAATGCAGATTTTAAAAAAATTGCAAACACATTTCATAGAAAAATTTATATTTTTACATCACCTACTGTTTTTACTATTGCATTATATATATAGTAATTGTACCAAATGTATTGGACAGTATCAAGGCAATATATTAAAATAAAAAACAGCCTTTACTTCTTTCTTTTCTCCAAAGGAAGAATCAGCCTTCAGATCTGGAGTGCCTGTAGCAAGGTCACCACGAGAGATGAGAGTACACATGTATGTATCATGGCTAAACACATCTTGACGAATCAGTTCCGAAAACAAGAGAACCAAGTTCCCAAATTCCTGTGATCTTACTGATAAAGCATTCTCATCTGTTGACAGAAAATACAAAGAGGTCTCAAAATGCAATGATGATAATCTATAAAAATGAAAACTTGTATATATAATTTAATTCATATTTTCTGCCTTAAACCTAACTAAACTATTGCATTCAGACTTTAAGGTAATTAATGATCACATGCAAAATTATGATGGCAACTACAGTATGGTATATATCACATAAGCATTTTAAGTATTTTGACATATAAGCAAAAAAATAGAGCTTGTCATTTTTATAATATATTAATGAAAACAAAGAACAATTCTTCCTAAAAAAACTTTACCAAAATTGACAAGTATATTTTTAACATTTTCATATACAAAATATTAAAAAATACAAAAACAAATGTCCACAAAAAATACATTCACATTCTATACTGTGCCCTACAATGCACATAAACAGATAACAACCACAGCACATGCTAGGTTAGTAAACACATGAATAGCCTGAAGAAATTTAAACAAAGACAACTTTCACTCATTACCATACATGACCAAGCCTCGAGTCAGCCTCACCAGTGTGCAGCTGAAATTGAACCAAAGAAAGTGAAGACAAAAAGCACCAATCAGGAGGTAAGCCTCCTGACTGGTGCTGAAACTGTGAGGCTTCAACTGCAAGAAAAACCCAAGTAAGCTAAAGCTTGTGCCCTCAAGGAATGCACAACACATGGTGATATCAAAATATACAACCTGCTCAGAGGCAGAAACTGAGCACTTTAGAGGGAATGATGTGGAACAGGAGGACATGAATGAAAACTGAACAGCCAAATGAGTCAGATACCAAAAAGCATTTCTACAACGTAATAGCAGGGAACAATGTAAATAACACAAAAGCTGACCCAGACTCTACACAGGGATTCATATATGAATACATGAAAAATTATTGTGATTTCAACTAATCATTGTCAATCAAGAAGTGGACTCAAAAGCTGAAGCTCAAGCTACCATCATTACCTCTAACAGGCACTGTAATTATGGAAACAAGCACAAAATATTCAGAACACATTACATAGCTGCTTGCACACTAACAACAAACAAACAAACACAGGGAATTTACCATACACAGGAGCCTGGGTATCTAAAAACTTCAGCAGGAGGTTTTGAAAGATGCACCCGCCTGGTGTTACCATTTGATTCGAGGTGACAGAATCTTTCTCATCTGGAAGATCATTTTCAGCTGATGTGACATTATTTTGCCTCTTCTCCAACAAGCGAGCAACAACCAGAGCTCGGTGCTCCCCACAGCGCTGCACCGACACTGCCCACTCACACAGCGTCCGCACAATAGCCTCATCATTATTGTTGCTAGTATTATTGCCACTGACGTTATTTATTGTATAAGTATTGCTACCACTGCTGCTGTTGCTGTTTGGGTTCTATACATAGTAAGAAAAATAAGATCACAATTATTGTTTAGTTAGCAAACTGTTTATCACACCCATTTTATGAGGTTTTCAGGAATCAGATTTTAAAATATTATTAAGGAATCTCTAATGATAATGAACATAAAGAATGGAAGTCACAATGCCATGACTGGAGCTATTTATAAGTAACCCAATTCACAGGTCAAATGGGGAGGCACAGCAAAAGTTAAGGCATTCTCCTCACCTCTTCAACATGACATGTCTTTTGGCTTTCTCCAATTTTTTTCCTCACTTGCAACTTGATAATGGGCCAGGATGAAATGAAAAGTCATCTAAAAACTCCTAACAAAATTGTGGATTAATTCTGAATAAAGTACATAATATTAAATGAGATACCAAAAAAGTAGAGATACGACAAGAAGCGTGGTAATAGTGCACTGAAGATAATTATGGTTAAGAATATGAATATGATGGCACTGCAACTATGATGTTGTGTTACTGAAAATGATGCATTATATTACTGAGTACAATACATTATATTACTGAGCACAATACTTACTGTTCCCTCACTGTAGCACACAATACTACAACTTGATTTTCTCTAACATCACTGCAGTATATAATACCACAGTTTGACTTTTTCTACCATAACTATCACAAAATATTGTAGTTTGACTTTCTCTATCATCAATAAGATTATACAATATACAGTACATATACAGTACATTACACTGCTGTACTTGTAATATATATACATATATCTGTGACCAGTTTCAAGGTAAAGTCTAACCTCACTTATAAATTATCATTTAACTTTCTGTTATTTTACAAACAATACAGATCTGTACTTCACTCTGAGCACTAACAAAAAAGGTCAATGCTCTTTCTCATATTACATACTGTATTATACTGGTGACTGCTAAAGCAGAGTTTTCCTGCACCTTTTCTCTATGTACATTATGTAATTTTTTTAAACACATTGGCCATCTCCCACCAAGGTAGGGTAACCCATAAAAAAGAAGATGCACCTCACCCTCATTTGTTTAATCACTATCTTGTCAGAAGCATGCTTACATGACAACATTACATAAAAAATACCTTACTGATGTTCCACACATTTACCAATCTGAGTAGAAACTATGCAAATAAAGGAATTTCAAATTTGGAAGTGTCTACCAAAATATATCAAAATCTCTTCAAATAAATTTTAAGATACAGCACAAATGTGCATAAAAGTTGATTCCATTATTATTGCTACAGGATATTTACCAATATGATATTTATTACATCAGAAATATAGTCATTATTTTTTATCTCAAAGACCATTTGCTAAAGCAGGGTGACCCTATGAGGGAAAACATAATCAACATTATTCACTCAATTGCCATTTTGCCAGAAGTGTTGGCATCACAATTCAGAATAACCTTTGACTGCAACATTTGCCAGAAGTGTGCTGACATACACAATTCAGACTGCAACATCCCCTCCACAAAGAGTCATAAAAGATGAAAAATGGTTAAGCCTTATACATTTTCTGAGGAAGACCTTCAGAATAAACTTGAATAACTATACAGTCCAACATAAAGGTTAGCACTCAATACACAAAATTTACATAATCCATCTTCCATCAATATAGGATGACCTAAAGAATGAAATATGCTCACCAACACTCATGAAATCACTGTTTTGCCATAAGCACATAGACACTGCAAATCAAGTGACCCTTCAAAACTCCAATATTCTTCAGAATGCAAGCACTGTACAAGACATAAAAAATATGCAGTGAGTAACAATCAATGGGAAAATAATGAAAAAAAAAAAATCATTGCATCATGTGATCTGACTAAAGTAGAAAAATTCTGAAAAAAACCCTGCTCCATGTATTTTCAATTATTATTATTATTATTATTATTAATTTTTTAACACACTGGCCATCTCCCACCAAGGTAGAGTGACCTGAAAAGAAGAAAAATTAATCATCACTCATGCCATCACCATCTTGCCACAGACACGCAGACATCACAGCACTGATGCCCATAAAAATTGCAATATCCCCACCCCTCCTTCAGAGTGCAGAAATTGTACTTTCTACCTATAGGTTAACCATTTTCCCTGAATCCTTTCTTAAATGTTTCCTCACTCACACACTAACAGCATGTCAAGTCACAGAAACCACTTATCTCCACTTGTATCTAACATGCTCACATAAGTCTGTTGGATGTCCAAGCCCCTTGCATACAGCAGCTCCTTTACCCACTCCCACCAACTTTTCCTAGAATGACCCCCTTCCCACCAACCTTTCCTAGAATGACCCCCTCCCACCAACCTTTCCTAGAATGACCCCTCCCCTCTTTCCTCCCACTACAGAGTTATATGCCCTCCAAGTCATCCTATTTTTATCCATCCTCTCTAAATATCCAAACCACCTCAACAACCCCTCCTCAGTCCTCTGGATAATACTTTTAAGAACCTCGCACCCCCTCATAATCTCTAAACTAAGAATTCTCTGCATGATATTCACACCATATATTGCCCTTAGACAATATATCCCCACTGCCTCCAGCTGCCTCCTCATTGCAATGTTTAACCCGTAAACGGTCCAAATGTATATGTATATACGTTTTTTCAACATTTGATAGTATGTAAAAAAAAGTAGATCCTTTTTTTTTTTACCTTTGAAAACGTGTAAAAAAACTTTGATCTACGTTTTTTTTTTTTGTTTAGATTTGAAAATATGTAAAAAAAAAAAAATGTAGATCTACTTTTGGAGCACTACTACGAGTTATTAATTTTATTACTATTATTATATTTAAGGGGATGCTCTAAACACATAAGGGCCATATAGCACCTGTGGAATGGGATGAGTAGTGGATAATCAGACTTGTTCCAATAAAGTGGAGAGTGGCTCCAATTCTTCAGATTAAGATCCCTTCATCAGCACCAAGGCACCCACTGAAGGGATTTATATTTATAGTACTTTCAGCAGAGTACTCTCATGAAGATTTAATAAATAAAAGCAACTGGGAAGCTTAATTTTAAGCATTTTTTGTAATTCTCAACACGTGTAAACTCTACCTGAATAAGGAGATGGACAGTGTGCTAAAAAAAGTTTTTTTAGGAATAACCAAATTTGAAAATAAAAATACTTACCTCATTATTTGCTTCCTTTGTAGAGCCAAAAATCTTATTGTATAAAGTGTCAAGAGAGTTATTTGAATCTACACGATCGAAGCAGTGGCGATCTAGTGCATCGAGAGCTCCCAAGACCCTATTTATTGTAGATCCTGTTGATAGAGGCACAGATGCTACAGCACCAAGATAAGAATACTGGGTTAATATCTCATAATAAAGTCAGAATCATTTATATTCAAGTGTCACTATAAAAAGAATTAATACAGCAAACCCTCACATAAGGCAGTAGTTACAGTCCGGAAAACTGCCGCATTTAAAAATAGTTGCAAAAACTGAAGAACACATGGAAAAAATAAGGTTATGCTCCAAGACTCTGAAGAAAGTAAGGGTAGTTTAATTTTGAAATTGATATGATAGTATATATGCTTGTTACAGACTTAACCAGACTCTTAGTCAACCATTGACACTAAACTTCGGGAAATACACACTAAAAGGTAAAAATCCTTTTAAAATTGAGAGTGGAAGTCAACCTGTAATGGCATCAGAATTACTTTGCAGAGGTCATGCATGCAATTAGAGAACTTGGGTCACAACTGTTCCAGTATATACACATGACCTGCCTGCATGATCAATATGAGTTCTGATGGCTCAGTGGAGAGAAAGAAAATAAAATACATTATTCATAACACGTATGCCAAGCTTCTGAATGTGCTAGTAGTTCAAAGTTGCAGTTGAGGCTACCTAGAGCCTGCACTGTGACTCAAGCTGACAGCCAAACATACAGTACTTCATACACACCCAACGTTAGCAATTTTAAGAGAAAGTGAAACAGTGAAAAAGACTGAGAAATATGCAGAGCGAAACACACAAATAAGTAATTGTATAAGTGATGAATATTGATACAGAAAACTTGTCCCTCAATATAAATAAAGCAATTAGTATGCAAAGAAGGGCAGGAAGAGTGCATTCAAATGCTATCTGGTGTAACAAAGATGAAAATAGTAGCTTAGTAAAAGGAAACTACCCTTGGCTTAACATTCTGTTAAGAACTTCCTGTGCCACAGAAGTGGGATGATGTATAGTAAAACTGAGTCGAGTTAACATGCACCAGAAAGAAAAAGGGGTTACAGGGTTTACTGTATAATACAAGAGTATAATATGTATGTGGAGTGAAAACATTTTTGTATACATTCAACTCTACTATACGATTAATTTATTCATCAAAGCCACAATTTAGACAAACCTGTAACTATGGTTTCTCTAGTTTCATATAATATTGTTCATGAGTGACTTATAAAACAATTTAAAAGCACAGGACTTAATCTTACCAGTTACATTAACAGCATATTTATCCAATGACCAGCGATTCTCTGCAGCTCGACTCCGTTGTCTGATGTGCTCTTCCATCATTTTCAGCTGAACCCTGAAATTTCAAAGTCTCACCAATGATACTGACAAACCGAGCATTTACATTACATTAATGATTCATAAAAGAAAAGTGTATACAGCTCTTCATTTTTAAGCTTTGTATAAACCAGTGTTAGAGGATGATCACATCCTGGGTTCCAGTAGGAAAGAAACCAGGCAAGCCTGTTTATCCTGTCAGGATTTCCCTGCAAAGAGTGGTGTGAAATGTGAAGATACCAGGAGCTGACTGCTCTCTCCTCTGGTGATTTCCTGTGAAGGCTAGGTGGCACTGCTAGCCACTTTAATACCACCTGTATATATTTGGCAGAAGTAATGACAGATCCTGTGATGTGTATTGGTCTGTGACTTGATCACTCATGAAAACCCATTAACATTTACAGTTATGAAAAGCTGAGCTAACTTTTGCAATATGATTCAAATTCTCTTACCTGTAAGCAATTATGTATTTAATATGCCTGACCTATCACTTTAGTTCTGGTAAGTCAGCACAAGATTTTAAAGTAACCACATATTGGTTGAGTCATGGTTGATAGTTGCTTATTTATATAGTATCCCTTGATGAATGCAAACACAGTGCACATGCACTGCTCTGGGTGGTTATTTGTGGAAGGATGGTAATTGCTGTGTACCTTTCAAGAAGGAGGCAAGTGCTTTAGCTAGCATGATTTAATTAATAAGATATCAAAATTGCAGCAGCCTCTAGTGAAGTGGTTTTTGTAGATTTTCCCCTTCCTTAATAAGTTTGGCCTTCAGTCTAGCAAAACCCTTGGCACACTCATTATCCCATATGGGAAATACAAAATACTGGACTAGCAGGCCCACTGCAATGTCCTACTACCCCTATCATCAGCACCTGACTAGCGGGCTCACTGCAATGTCGTACTATTCGTATCATCAGCACCTGACATACTTTTTTTTATTGCTCTTACCTCACTCTCCATGAGTATATATACGTGTAAAAGGTATCCACTCCATGATTAGACAAAACTCAACCCTGAGCAAGGCATATTACCCATAAAAGTTTGTTCCGAATATTGTCTTTACATCTGTACTTGTGGGTATTACCTGTATGTTACCTGTAACCTATATACAAAATCTCCGGTGCATTCCTCCACATGCAACTACATATTATTTTATTTCATTTGACATGAATGGGAGTTACCAAATCAGAAAAAATAATACTTTATTGTAACGCAGTCAGAAAATATTGATGGTAAAGCGTATCACGCTGTCTCACCGGACATGTTGGTTGTTGTAGCGAGGAGGCATAGGCAGATCAGAGGGGGCACAGGGAAGCACATCAAGGGGAGACCCAGTCAGCCAAGAGGAAGCTTTACCCTCACCAGCATTGTTCCACACCAGTGCAGTTGGACAGTCAAGGGTAATTGCCTGTTAATAAAAAAATGTAACACTAGAGATTATTTAATATGGCAATTATTTTTTGCTGGAAATAAGAAAGACAGTAGTACATAAAATAATAAAAATTATAATAATAATATAGTACAGTGACTTTTGTTAGAAACAAACTATTGCATTTAAAGCTCTGCAACATAAATAAAAGTTAAACCAAACAGATTATCCTAAGATGAGGGAAAAATTCAAAATGAAATCGTTTAACAACTGTGGAAGGTGCTAGATTTTAAACCAATGCAGAAAAGTAAAGTAAGGAATGGGTGGGATGGTTCATGGTGGGAGGATGGAGGGACTAGCAGGTGACACCCTCTTTTTCTTCTCCCTACCATGGCTTGGCTAACTCTACCCACACACCAGTCACCCTCTCTCCTCATGCAATTATCTTCAGCACTTGTCTCCACACTATTATAAACTGAACAATTAAAAGTTAAGAAAGGGATCAGGAGTTAGAGTTCATCTCCATCCCATCCCCTCCACAAAACTTAAAATGATAATATATATATTTTTTTTAACATTTAAGCTGTTTTCCACCAATGTGGGATACAGCCGTATATATACAGCCGGTTTGTTGAAAGAAGACTAATTATATATATAGACATCTAATAATAACAAGAAAATAAAATACAGGGAAAGACAGGACCTCAAAAATTATCATTTACATTTTAATATTAAAAACTGACTTGCAAAAATAGCTAACAAATACAATAACATCAGAACCATTTTTTGTTTCTACAATAAACATTCAGATGTGACCTAAAAGTAGACCACTGTTAAATTTTAAACATCTTTTCTACCAGTGCTATTTACAATACTGTATGTTGATTTCTCCAAGAAATACCTGGATGAAGCAGGATGCAGCCAGGACAACTGGACGATGCTGGTGGCAAGAGAGTAGCTCCTGGAATGTTGCTGCCAGAGGGTTTATTGTTGGGCCTGATGGCTGACTGGTCCCAGAACCTTGACCACTTACACCAATTCTTTAGAGTAAAAGTATTCTGTCAAGTTTTCACAAAATACAGGAGAGAAGCTTGCACATGATTTTGGTCTAAATTTTTATTAATACTAAAATATTAACTAATTTTTAGCATTTTAAATATATTACATTCAGGAAAAAAGAGACAGCCATATGTACACTGTTACCCATTATTGCTGTGGTTGACAGGAGACTGTGGCCTGGGTGAAGAGTATCCAGAGTCGTGACACAACTGGGCTAGTTTAGACGCTGAATAATACGCAAGTTTACGTGAAAGGTACTCTGACTGTGTGATGTCATCAAGGTACTGCAAGGGTAAAGGCAGCACAACACGAAGAACAACGTCATGCTCAGTTCCTCGCCATCGTACAAACGTTTCCACAATCCATTCTAAAAGTTCCTGACGATCCAGTAAGCCTTCCTACAATGGCAAACAAACAATTACTGAATAATTCTTACTTTTATATTAATAATATCTGGCATGACCTCATGCTGTCCCATCCCCCTTTCTGGATATTAGTGTTGTAGTGTTATTACAAAATTTTCCTTCATGTTAGACATACATAGGTCCCTAAGCCCAGTCTGCTTTTTACACTAGTTATCAATAACAGCATCTTAGGATTTTGAAGTTTTATTCTCCAAAACCTGCTCCAACAGATATAGATAACAATACTGTTGTCATTACCACGATTATAATCCTGGTAGGCAAATAGAATCAGAGCACATATTATTCTGATACAATTCAGGGAGTTCACTGCCTGATACTATATGAAAATGTTTGCAAAAGAAACATCAGTGGTTTGTAAATACAGATATTCCAAAGTTTAGAGCAAAATGATTATCCATGAGTCCCTGACTTCTAATTCATTACAGTAATTACTTAGGTACAGTAAGTAATATTCCTTCCTTTTTTATCCACTTTCAACAGTAAGTGAATGCTATGATTCATTCCTAAGCTAACTTGAATTTCATCAATAAATTCAATAACACAATACAGGATGTGCACCTGATACATAAAGTGTGCTAACTGAAGACAGTAATTCCAGTTACGAAGAACATGAGTCAGCTGTGCAGTAGTTGGCTGTCCTGTTCCAGTAGCCGCTGGTGCTCCACTCCCAGAACCGGAGAGTCCTGAAAATAGGGAAAAATAGGACAAACTAAATTTTAAATTAAAAAAATTCAAGATGCCATGGACATTTAGGTTATCATTCCTATACCAAGCACATACAGTAGAACCTCATATCTATGGGTTCAGTTTCTGCAGTTTCAGTTATCTGTGGTTTACCATGGCCTGAAAATAACTCTTAATTTTGCTTAATAATGGCACCAAAGTGCAAAAGTAGTGATAATAGCAGTTCTTCAAAACCTAAGAGTAACAGGGAAGTGCTTCCCATCAGTGAAAAATTCCTACTTCTCCTTTTACTGTGAATAATTTATCAACTGAACTTTATCACGGCTATGTACATATGTATGTATGTATGAAAGTGTATAAACTAAAGGAAGAGGAAGTTAGGGCGAGATATAAGCAACTATTGGCGGAAAGGTGGACTAGTGCAAGTATGAATAGTGGGGGAGGCGATGTTGAAGAGGATTGGGATAGTTTTAAAAATGCAGTATTAGAATGTGGAGCAGAACTTTGTGGCTATAGGAGGGTGGGTGCAGGAGGAAAGAGGAGTGATTGGTGGATTGATGAAGTAAAGGGTGTGATAAAAGAGAAAAAGTTAGCTTATGAGAGGTTTTTACAAAGCAAAAGTGTTATAAGAAGAGCAGAGTATATGGAGAGTAAAAGAAAGGTGAAGAGAAAGGTGAGAGAGTGCAAAAGGAGAGCAGATGATAGAGTGGGAGAGGCACTGTCAAGAAATTTTGCTGAATATAAGAAAAAACTTTTGAAGTGAGATAAACAAGTTAAGAAAGCCTAGGGAACAAATGGATTTATCAGTTAAAAACAGTAGGGGAGTTAATAAATGGGGAGCTGGAGGTATTGGGAGGATGGTGGGAATATTTTGAGGAACTTTTAAATGTCGATGAAGAAAGGGAGGCAGTAATTTCATGCACTGGACAGGGAGGTACATCTTTTATGAGTGAAGAGGAGCAGGATGTAGGTGTGGGAGAGGAGGTGCATGAGGCATTATGTAGAATGAAAGAGGGTAAAGCAGCTGGAACTGATGGGATCATGAAAGAAATGTTAAAAGCAGGGGGAGATATAATGTTGGAGTGGTTGGTATTTTTGTTTAATAAATGTATGAAAGAGGGGAAGGTACCTAGGGATTGGCAGAGAGCACGTATAATTCCTTTATATAAAGAGAAGAGGGACAAGAGAGATTATAAATATTATAGAGGAATAAATTTACTGAGTATACCAGGAAAAATCCTAGGTAGTAGGTTGGTAGACAGCAACTGCCCAGGGAGGTACTACCATCCTGCCAAGTGAGTGTGAAACGAAAGCCTGTAATTGTTTTACACGATGTTAGGATTGCTGGTGTCCTTTTTTCTGTTTCATAAACATGCAAGATTTCAGGTACGTCTTGCTACTTCTACTTACACTTAGGTCACACTACACATACATGTACAAGCATATATATATGTACACACCCCTCTGGGTTTTCTTCTATTTTCTTACTAGTTCTTGTTTATTTCCTCTTACCTCCATGGGGAAGTGGAACAGAATTCTTCCTCCGTAAGCCATGAGTGTTGTAAGAGGCGACTAAAATGCCAGGAGCAAGGCGCTAGTAACCCCTTCTCCTATATATATTACTAAATGTAAAAGAAGAAGCTTTCGTTTTTCCTTTTGGGCCACCCTGCCTCGGTGGGATACGGCCTGTGTGTCGAAAGAAAGAAAGAAATTTACTGAGTATACCAGGAAAAATCCTAGGTAGTAGGTTGGTAGACAGCAACTGCCCAGGGAGGTACTACCATCATGCCAAGTGAGTGTGAAACAAAAGCCTGTAATTGTTTTACACAATGGTAGGATTACTGGTGTCCTTTTTTCTGTTTCATAAACATGCAAGATTTCAGGTACGTCTTGCTACTTCTACTTACACTTAGGTCACATATATATATGAAACAGTAATTCAATGTCTCTCCTCCTCCAGTCTTCCATACACTAAGAAGAATTGCCAATAAAGGTAAGTGTTATGCTGTTAATGTTTCATTCATCATGTCCCATTGTATTGTTTATGTACTACATTTATATTTCACGTAAAAAAAAATTTTTGTTTTAATACTTCTGGGTGTCAGGAACGGATTAATTGTATTTACATTATTTCTTATGGGAAAATTGATTTGAAAATCGTCTATTTCGATAATAGTCCCGCTTCCAGGAATGGATTATGGACGACAATTGAGGGACCACTGTATATATATATATACAGTGGATCCTCGCCTAACGATATTAATCTGTTCCTGAGAGCTCAACGTTAGGCGAAATTATCGTTAGCCGAATTAACTTTCCCTAAGAAATAATGGAAATCAAATTAATCCGTTCCTGACACCCCAAAGTATGAAAAAAAACAAATTTTACCACATGAAATATTAATTTTAATACGCACAAACTGAAGAAGACATGTACAATTACATGACACTTACCTTTATTGAAGATCTGGTGATGATTGATGGGATGGGAGGATGAGAGAGTGTGGATGGTGTTAATGTTTAGAAGGGGAATCCCCTTCCATTAGGACTTGAGGTGTCAAGTCCTTTTCCGGGGTTACTTCCCTTCTTCTTTTAATGTCACTAGGACCAGCTTCAGAGTCACTGGACCTCTGCCGCACAACATATCTGTCCATAGAGGCCTGTACCTCCCATTCCTTTATGACATTCCTAAAGTGTTTCACAACATTGTCAGTGTAATAGTCACCAGCACGGCTTGCAATAGCTGTGTGAGGGTGATTTTCATCAAAAAAGGTTTGCACTTTATGCCACATTGCACACATTTCCTTAATCTTTGAAGTAGGCAACTTCCTAAATTTCTCTATCCCCTCCTCCGGAGCAGTTTCCTCAGGTCTGGCCTCTTGCTGTTGAAGATGATCTTGCAGCTCATCAGTGGTTAGTTCTTCATTGTCCTCCTCCATCAACTCTTCCACATCCTCCCCACTAACCTCCAACCCCAAGGACTTCCCCAATGCCACAATGGATTCCTCAACTGGTATAGGATTCCCAGGGTTAGCCTCAAACCCTTCAAAATCCCTTTTGTCTACACATTCTGGCCACAGTTTCTTCCAAGCAGAGTTCAAGGTCCTCTTAGTCACTTCCTTCCAAGCATTACCTATAATGTTTACACAACTGAGGATGCTAAAGTGATCTCTCCAAAACTCTCTTAGAGTCAATTGAGTTTCTGAGGTCACTACAAAGCACCTTTCAAACATAGCTTTTGTATAGAGTTTTTTGAAGTTTGCAATGACCTACTGGTCCATGGGCTGCAGGAGAGTAGTAGTATTAGGAGGCAAAAACTTGACCTTAATGAAGTTCATGTCCCCAGAAAGTCGCTCTGCCATGTCTGAAGGATGACCAGGAGCAATGTCTAATACCAGGATGCACTTAAGGTCCAATTTGTTTTCCAGGAGGTAATTTTTCACAGTGGGGGCAAATGCATGGTGTAACCAGTCATAGAAAAGGTCTCTAGTGACCCATGCCTTACTGTTTGCCCTCCACATCACACACAAATTAGCCTTTAGGACATTGTTTTTACTGAACACTCTGGGAGTTTCAGAGTGATACACCAATAAAGTCTTCACTTTGCAATCACGACTAGCATTAGCACACATCAACAGAGTACGCCTGTCTTTCATAGGCTTATGTCCTGGGTTTCAATACTTCACTGTCTCTGTACTCCTTGAATTCCTTCACATATTTCAGCTGCTTTTTGGTCCAAACTGGCAGCCTCACCATGCCTTATCACACTATGTATGCCACTACAATTCTTAAATCTCTCAAACCAACCTTTGCTGGCCTTAAATTCACTCGCATCACCACTAGTTGCAGGAATTTTTCTAATTAAATCGTCATGCAACTTCCTAGCCTTTTCACATATGATCGCTTGAGAGATGCTATCTCCTGCTATCTGTTTTTCGTTTATCCACACCAATAACAGTCTCTCAACATCTTCTATCACTTGCGATCTCTGTTTCGAAAACAAAGTTGCACCTTTGGCAAGAACAGCTTCCTTGAATGCCGTTTTCTTGGCCACAATAGTAGCGATGGTTGATTGGGGTTTTGTGTACAACCTGGCCAGCTCGAAGACATGCACTCCACTTTCATACTTAGCAATGATCTCTTTCTTCATATCCATAGTAATTCTCACCCGTTTTGCTGTAGAGTTGGCACTAGAAGCTTTCTTGGAGCCCATGGTGACTTATTTTGCAGGTGCAATCACTAAAAACGCTGTGATAATATGAAATGTTCCGATTGTATGTTTGGATGCGACCGCGGTGGCTGGCTTGTAAACACTGGCACCCGCAGGACATGTGAGGCGCGCTCAGGCCACAGGTGGACGCGTCTCGAACGGAACGAATCGCATTGGGCAAGGTTTTTAGCGCTAGCCGAGGTGAAATTTTTGAGTTAAAATGTATCGCTGGGCGGATTTAACGTTAAGCGATGCGTTTGTTAGGCGAGGGTCCACTGTGTGTATTTTTTTTTTTTTTCAACAAGTCGGCCGTCTCCCACCGAGGCAGGGTGACCCAAAAAGAAAGAAAATCCCAAAAAGAAAATACTTTCATCATCATTCAACACTTTCACCTCACTCACACATAATTACTGTTTTTGCAGAGGTGCTCAGAACACAACAGTTTAGAAGCATATACGTATAAAGATACACAACATATCACCCTGCCTTGGTGGGAGACGGCCGACTTGCTGAATATTTAATATTTAGTAATATTTAGTGAAGGGATTCAGGGAAACCGGTTATTTTCATATAGTCGGACTTGAGTCCTGGAAATGGGAAGTACAATGCCTGCACTTTAAAGGAGGGGTTTGGGATATTGGCAGTTTGGAGGGATATGTTGTGTATCTCTATACGTATATGCTTCTAAACTGTTGTATTCTGAGCACCTCTGCAAAAGCAGTGATAATGTGTGTGTGTGGTGAAAGTGTTGAATGATGATGAAAGTATTTTCTTTTTGGGGATTTTCTTTCTTTTTTGGGTCACCCTGCCTCGGTGGGAGACGGCCGACTTGTTGAAAAAAAAAAATATATATATATATATTTTCTAGGTAGTAGGTTGGTAGACAGCAACCGCCCAGGGAGGTACTACCGTCCTGCCAAGTGAGTGTAAAATGAAAGCCTGTAATTGTTTTACATGATGGTAGGATTGCTGGTGTCCTTTTTTTCTGTCTTATGAACATGCAAGATTTCAGGTATGTCTTGCTACTTCTACTTACACTTAGGTCACACTACACATACATGTACAAACACATATATATACACATCCCTCTGGGTTTTCTATTTTCTTTCTAGTTCTTGTTCTTGTTGTTTATTTCCTGTTACCTTCATGGGGAAGTGGAACAGAATTCTTCCTCCATAAGCCATGAGTGTTGTAAGAGGTGACTAAAATGCCGGGAGCAAGGGGCTAGTAACCCCTTCTCCTGTATATATTACTAAAAGTAAAAGGAGAAACTTTCGTTTTTCCTTTTGGGCCACCCCGCCTCGGTGGGATACGGCTGGTGTATTGAAAGAAAGAAAGATTTACAGTAGAGACAGGAAGGCCTCTGGGTGGACAGAACAGAGAGGGATGCCAACAAGGAATATACCAACAAGTGCTAGATGACATACACACAACTGAATAGGAAGTGAAGAAGCTGCTAAGGGACTGTGGCATGCAAAGAGTACGTAACCTTTATTCGGCGCATGTACACACCCTCATTTACAGGCTATCTCCCCCAACCAGCGAACCAGGTTGCTAAGAGTTGATGATGGGGCCCCGTCGTTCAACTAGTGACCAGGTTCTAGCCAATAAGAAGATGGTTTTGGCAATTGCAGAGGTTATGTGGGTACCGCTCTCCTGTCTGCCCTTGTCATTCCCATTCTAGAGCTGGTTGAAGCACGGTCTGCTATCTTGTGGCTTCTATTCTGCCTTGCTTACCGTGGAGTGCACTATACTTATCACTGTACATAGTGTACATATTGCTGTTCTAAATTGGTGAAGGATAATATAAGTCTAAACTTTTTCTGCTGTGTTTATTTTGCTCCCATTACACCCGGGATAACAGGCCATTTGGATTCCTGGGTTGTAATAGGGACCTTGATACCTCAAAGGCAATGGGACCAGATAACATCTCCTCGTGTGTCCTTAAAGAGGGAACAGAAATGCTGTGTGTGCCACTAACCACAATCTTCAACACATCCCTTAAAACTGGGCAACTACCTGAGGTATGAAAGACGGCAAATGTAGTACCCATATTTAAAAAAGGAGACAGAAAAGAGGCACTAAACTACAGACCAGTGTCACTGACGTGCATAGTATGCAAAGTAATGGAGATTTTCAGGAGAGTGGTGGAGCACCTGGAACGAAACAAGAGTATCAATGCCAACCAGTACGGATTTATGGAAGGCAAATCCTGTGTCACAAACCTACTGGAGTTTTATAATAAAGTAACAGAAATAAGACACGAGAGAGAGGGGTGGGTTGATTGCATCTTCTTGGAATGCAAGAAGGCCTTCGACACAGTTCCTCACAGGAGATTGGTGCAGAAGCTAGAGGATCAGGACCGTATAACAGGAAGGGCGCTGCAATGGATAAGAGAACACCTGACAGGGAGGCAACAAGTCATGGTACATGATGAGGTATCACAGTGGTTACCTGTGACAAGCGGGGTCCCACAGGGGTCAGTCCTACGACCAGTGCTACTTCTGGTATATGTGAATGACATGATGGAAGGGTTAGACTCAGAAGTGTCCCTGTTCACAGATGATGCGAAGTTAATGACGAGAATTAAATCAGTTGAGGATCAGGTAGGACTTCGAAGAGACCTGGACAGGCTGGACACCTGATCCGGCAACTGGCTTCTCAAATTCAAACCCGCCAAATGCAAAGTCACGAAGATCAGGGAAGGGCAAAGAAGACCGCAGACAGAGTATAGGCTAGGTGGCCAAAGACTGCAAACCTTGCTCAAGGAGAAAGATCCTGGGGTGAGTATAACACCGAGTGCGTCTCCAGAAGCACACAACCAGATAACTGCTGCAGCATATGGGCGCCTGGCAAACCTGAAAATAGCGTTCCGATACCTTGGTAAGGAATCGTTCAAGACACTGTACACTGTGTATGTCAGGCCCATATTGAAGTATGCAGCACCTGTCTGGAACCTACACTTGATCAAGCACTTCAGGAAATTAGAGAAAGTGCAAAGGTTTGCGACAAGGTTAGTTCCAGAGCTAAGGGGAATGCCTACGAAGAAAGGTTAAGAAAAACTGGCCTGATGACACTGGAGGACAGGAGGGTTAGGGGAGACATGATAACAACATACAAAATGCTGCATGAAATAGACAAGGAGGACAGAGACAGGATGTTCAAGAGAGGGGACACAGAAAGAAGGGGTCACAATTGGAAGTTGAAGATCCAGATGAGTCAAAGGGATGTTAGGAAGTATTTCTTCAGTCACAGAGTAGTCAGGAAGTGGAATAGCCTAGCAAGTGAGGTAGTGGAGGCAGGAACCATACATAGCTTTAAGATAAGGTATGATAAAGCTCTTGGAGCAGGGAGAGAGAGGACCTAGTAGCACTCAGTGAAGAAGTGGGGCCAGGAGCAGAGTCTCGACCCCTTCAACCACAATTAGATGAGTACAATTAGGTGAGTATGTACGTATGTAAGCACACGCGCACGCACACACGCACACACACACACACACACGTGTATACGGTTCACTACTATCCACGGTTTCAGGTATCTGTGGTAGGCCTTGGAACGTAACCACAAGCGATACATTCCAAGCCCTCCTGGGGGTGTATGTCAGTTCCTTCTACTAACAAAAATATACATACCTCTCAAATTTCATAAAAGATATAGTGAACTTTCAACACAGTCCAGAGTTTACTCATAGGCAAACTCCATGCATTTCAACAAGTTCCATCATTAAACCTCTGTCCAAATCCTTATCATCTTGTAGTCATCTGTTGCTCACCATCACATACATATCTTGTTTTCGGTTATTTTCTTTTTAATAAACAGTCATCTCCCACTGAGATAGGGAGACCCTCCAAAAAAGGAACACTTTCACCATCACTCATTCAACAGCTGTCTTTCCAGAATTTGGTTTAACCTTTCCTTCATTATCCTCTTTATTGTCCTCATCCATTTCCTCAACTTTCCTAGGCTCTTCAGCTTTTGTAAATTTGTACAGAAAATAATTACAATATAATGTACTCCCTAACCTACCTTCCTTCCACCCAGTTTAAATACCCTCTTGGTCATCCTATTCTGCTCTAATCTTTCTAAATGCCCATTCCCTCTCAACAATCCTTCCTCAGCCTCTGAATTATACCTTTGGAAACCTCAATCTCTCTTTTAATTTATATGTTCTGAATTCTATGCATAATATTCACACCACACACATTGCTCTCAAACATGTTATCTCCAGTGCCTCCAGCCTCCTCCTTGCTGCAATGCTCAAAGTCCATACCTTGAACCCATATAAAAATGCTGGTGGTACCATTATAGTCTGGTACATTCCCTATTTTGCTTCCATGGATAAGTTCTTCACATACACAAATGCCTCAGTGCACTACCCAACTTTTTTTTGAATACTAAAACTTTTTCATTACACTTATAATTACAATACCTATTTATAGGTACTATAATTATGCATGTTTGAGTTCCCTAATGCAATTTCCTCAATCCTCCACTATACACCCCATTACATATTATGTAACAGCATTGACAAAATGCACACAGAGCATCACCTTACTGAGGATAAAATGGCTATACCAAACAGCGACACTCCTGGTACATACCCTGATTGTGCGGTGATGACTGTGGAGGCTGGGTTGCAGGTGGAGTTGGGGCTGCTGCAGTTGTATTGTTACTTGGGAGAGATGGTCCACTTGTGTTGGCATTGGGAGTTGAGCCGGCAGATGAGGCCCCTGAGGTTGCACTAGGGTTACCTAGGTAAATCTCTGCAATTTTGTTGTGCTGTTCACGCAGGAGTCTTGTGAGGGTCTGGGTCCATTCTTGCAAGTAGCGACAAATATTAAGTGGTGTACTAACTGTACGTATTTTAATTTCTAATAATATATTTAATGCCTCCCACTGTACAGGGATAATTCCTGAGAAATAAAGTCAAATGCCACAAAACTGACTCTTTCAAATCCAAAATCTGTGTAAGTCTGACAAAGCTCTCCAAAACTTTTACAGAAAAAATCCACTAAGAAATGCCACTGTATTCTCTCCTCCAACAATACACTTATTGCACCATCAAAAGATTAAAGATTATTGCAAATGTGAAATGTCACTTCTGACAATAGAAAAAGACTGAGCAACTGAGAGGAAGCAAAATGAGAGTGTAAGAGCAAGCAAGCAAGAATGTGATAATATATTAACACTTAATTGTCCTACCCCATGAAAGACAGGATTTTCCTCCTACAATCCACTGAACAAAAATATAATAGACAAAATCTTCTACATTGGAGGCCACCAGATAATGAGTTAATGAGAGCAAGTTAGTCAATAAATATGAGGTAGTGGTGTGTGTACCATAATACACATCGCTTGCAGATGCTGCAAAACAGTTGTACATCCTCTCATCCGCTTCATAAAAAATAGTGGTAGACAACATTCAAATGTTTCTGTGGATAAAAGAAACAGACTGCAAGAGAGGAAAAATAAACTTAATAGCACCGCTTAACTGGCAAACAATGGGTTGGGCGGTGGCCAACTTACTCCTGGCTGGAAGCTCTGGACATGGCTAGAACACTTTGACATTCCATGGAGAATAAAAGTCACTATACCATGGCTGGAACAATTCACAGTTAACCCCAAAAATTGGAAATACACACAGTGTGGCACATTTGCTGTGAACACCCATTTTAAATTATTTTAAAATCCTTCAAACATTAACTTACCTTGTGCAATATCAGGTTGTTGTCGTTTCTTAATTTTAGATTCTGCTACCTTTGACTCATGATAAGCAGAGGTCATTTTAATAAACCAAGTAGCCCGCAGCATAGGCACAGAATATTCACAAAGTGTTAGGAACATATCTTCTCTCTTGCTGAATATGGGAACCTGTTAATGAAACTAATTATAGACAACTGCCTTTATATATTGAGTTACTTTCAACAGTCTTTTCTGGCATATATTGTATATTCAAATGAGGAAGATATAAACACATTTAGAATCAAGTAACTGTGTGCTGGACATGTGTAAATAGAAATTAAAATGAAAGCAAAGTATGAGAAACAGATGGATATTAAATTAAAAATATAAACCAGAGCAAAATATGAGGAAAGAGAAATAAAAAGGTGCAATATTGAGACTGGAACAATACAGAAGAATCAATATATCAGATTCAAAATTTAATTAAGAACATTATATAACTTGTAGCAATATGTAAAATAAGAAAAATTAATAATCAAAAAAAAGATATTAACAGTTGTTTAATCAATGGTACTGCTGCCCAATATTATGGAGCAGCAGTAATAAACACAAACTATTTGTAAAACACTGATAGAAAGAGAAACATAGCAGTTACAGAGAGTGTTTATGTTACAGAGAAAGTAAAACTGTCAAAATTTTAATCAAGATATGGCAAAAAAAAAAAAAAAAAAAAATTAAAATGAATTTTAAAGAATGTACAGTGAATGCTCAATTAAATAGTCATGACAGACTAATCTTTGGGCATACTGACTATATCCCTAAGCATACACCTAACTTAAATCTAATAAAAAGTGGATCACCAAAACTACTTTAAGGTAGCTGAGTGTGTACAGCATATAATGTGAGGACAATGATATGCGTAAATGAAAAAAAAAATAGGTTACCATGCATGTACAAGGTATCACATACTGCAGAGCTGATTATGCAAATCACATGTCCCATGCCCATTTTTTATTTTGTAAATTATATATACTAACATACTGGCTGTGTCCCACAAAGACAGGGCAACCCCCCCCCCCAAAAAAAAAGAGGAAACACATTCATCATTCATTCAATCATCATCTTGCAAAAATAAACATGTTGACATCACTGTTCAGATGGCAAGCTGAACTGTAACAACCACACCCCTCCTTTAAAGTGCAGGTCATGTATTTCCCATCTGCAGGACTCAAGTCCAGCTAATTGATTTCCCTGAATTCCTTCATGAATATTACTTTGCTCATACTTCAAAAATTACTTGCCTCCACTCACTCTGATCTAACATGCTCACACAAGCCTTTTTGATGCTCAAGCACTCATATCCTCCTTTACCCTCCCTCTCTCCAACCCAATCTGAAATGATCCTTATTCCTCTCTCCCTCCTCTCAGATTTATATATCCTCCTCGTCATCCTAATTTGTCCCATCCTCAACAACCCCTCCTCAGTCCTCTGAGTTATACTTTTCATAACTCCACATTTTCTTCCAACTCTCCATACTCCGATTTTTTTTTAACACGTCAGCTGTTTCCCACTGAGGCAAGGTGACCCAAAAAGAAAGAAAAATCTTTCATCATCATTCAACACTTTCACCATCACTCATATAGAATCACTGTCTTCGCAGAGGTGCTCAGATATGACAGAAGCTTAGACATCCCTCCAAACTGCCAATATTCCAAACCCCTCCTTTGAAGTGCAGGCACTGTACATCCCATTTCCAGGACTCAAGTCCAGCTAACTGGTTCCCCTGAATCCCTTCACAAAATATTACCCTGCTCACACTCCAACAGCTCATCAGGTCCCAAAAAACATTCGTCTCCATTCACTCCTATCTAACATGCTCACACAAGCTTGCTGAAAGTCCAAACCCCTCACTCACAAAACCTACTTTACCCCCTCCCTCCCACCTTTTCAGGGACAACCCCTACTCTGCCTTCCTTTCCCTACAGATTTATACGCTCTCCAAGTCATTCTACTTTGTTCCATTCTCTCTAAATGACCAAACCACCTCAACAGCCCTTCTTCAGCCCTCTGACTAATACATTTAGTAACTCCGAATTATCTTTATATTTACATCCCAAGTTGCTCTCAAACACAACATACCCACTTCCTCCATCCTCCTCCTCACTACAACATTTAAAACTCATGCGTCATACTCACATAACAGAGTTGGTACCACTATACCTTGGTATATTCCCCTTTGCCTTCATGTATCTGATTCATTATTGTTTAGTCCCACATCTTCCCCAATACCCTACAGTTCATAACCCCATCTACAAATATGTTAAACATCCAAGGCGACATCACACATCCCTGTCTAAGTATTACTTTTACTGGAAAATAATCCCTTACTGGAAAATAATTTCCCTGCTCTCTTACATACCCTAACATGAGCCTCACTATCTGCAATAAAGCTCTTTACTGCATTTAGTAACCTACTACAGTGGTACCTTGACTTACAAATGCCCTAACTTATGAGTTTTCCTAGTTACAAGCCATCGCTTGGTCGATTTTTTGCTTTGAGTTGCAAGCCAAAATCCGAGTTACGAGTGAGCTTCAGATACGCCACCACTAGTTGGTGCAATGAATACCACAATATCCTCCCAGCATCCCAGCGTTTTGTGCTTTTTGTGCAGTTATTTTGCCACATTTCTTTTTTGTAACCATGGGTCCTAAAAAAGTAAGTGTAAAGGACAGTGCTGAGAAGAAGAGGATGATGTCCATTGAATTAAAGCTTGAAATCATAGAAAAGCACGAGAAAAATCGCTCTAGTGCAGTTAGCCTCACAAACACTCCATTTTCTCTTATAATAAGACCTCAGGTCACGAATGGAAAGATATGGTCGGAGCGATAATTATTTTTACCTCGGGAGTGGCCGCCACCACTTGTCATATAATGACATATTTTATTCATTCTAGAGAATATATCATGTTTCTATGTTATTTATATTGTTTACTATGTCATATTAGATCAATTGTGATAGATAAATAAGCCGTAGAGTTGATATTAGCGCTATATTGAAGCATTTTCTCCTGCCTCCCAAGAGCCAGGAATTCCACTGGGATGGATTAATAGCATTTCAATTAATTTCAATGAGAAAAATTTATTTGATATACGAGCAAATTGAGTTACGAGTTCAGTCACGGAACGAATTAAACTCATAAGTCAAGGTACCACTGTACTAGTTTATACACAGTGACTTAAATTTAATATAACAAACATAGGAGCTTCCTTAATTAGAAAATGATAATTTGAAAACTATTTAGCAGCAAATACTCCCTGCTTGTGCTTTTGTGATGTTTGTCAATCAAGATATAACATTGGCAGTATTTAATACATTAAGATACTTGGAAAGAAGTCTTTCTCTATCTGCACAATGAACTTATTTCGTTGTGCAGAGAAAGTTTCATTCAAGCCTCTTCAATGGTTAGTAAAGAAAGCAATACAAAATTATGGTTAAGATAAAAATTACAATTACAGTATTCCTACATGACTTGAATTTTTCTACAGGAGTTCTGGTTCTTACTCCATATGTTCAATGCAGAATCTTATTAAAAAAAGCCTCAGATTCCACTGTTTTAACTTACTTTTTTAGCAAGTGATGTTAGGGCCTTTGATCCAGCAAGATCTTTGAACCATGCCTCTATTGCTGTTTTGGATCTTGGTGTCACTAACCAAAAGTTATCTTTAATGTTTATTTGCTGCTTCTTCCTGGCTGTATCTGGCAGCTGATTAGATTCTGCTTTCTTCTTCAAGATGGCATTAAAATAATTGGCCACCTGAAAAAACAAGAGTTGCACTCAGTATTTACAGCATTTTAAAATTATTTATAAACTCTCCCCTTCTCCTTTTAAATTGAATGCTGCAGTTGGTAGGGATTACATTTCCAGATATGATGCAAATAATAACAACAACAATAACAATTTTATTTTTACATGATACATGTTTGTACAAAGGGAGTGTAACAATTTGGTGAACATGCCAAAAGCCCCTTTATATGCAGAGAATTTCAGGCAAGCTTATGACTAACTTAAGATTAATAAGGCAGCAACAGTGCTGTAACTGTACATATGGTCATTAGGCAAGTCACAGTAAATACAAGAAAATTGAATATTCAACTAGTTCACGCTATATGGCTTTAATAAGTTTGGTAGAGAAGAATTACAGTTTTGATATAGTATATAAAAAATACAATATATACAATTTAAAACAACGAAGTTGAACAATTTTAAGTTTGAAATAATGATTAAATAGTTGAGCAATCATCAAGCACAATTTTCAATATGAAGTACAGTGGTACCTTGGGTTACGAACTTATTTCGTTCCAGAAGGCTGTTCGAGTGCCGATACCGAACGAATTTGTTCCCATAAGGAATAATGTAAATTAGATTAATCCTTTCCAGACCCCCAAAAATACACTTACAAAATCACTTACATAAATACACTTATATAATTGTTCGCATTTTGAGCTGTTCTTATCCCGAGGTACCACTGTATTACAATCTAGTATAATTTAAAACAATGAAGTTGAAACAATTTTAAGTCTGAAGTAAATGATCAAATAGTTGAGTAGTCATAAATTATTTAGGAGTTTTTTGAGTAATTGGTAAGTGTTAAGTATAGTGGTTGTCTGGTTAATTTTGGGTGATGAGGTGATTTCTAAATACAGTGGACCCCCCGGTTTACGATATTATTTCATTCCAGAAGTATGTTCAGGTGCCAGTACTGAACGAATTTGTTCCCATAAGGAATATTGTGAATTAGATTAGTCCATTTCAGACCCCCAAACATACACATACATACGCACTTACATAAATACACTTACATAATTGGTCGCATTGGGAGCTGTTCGTATACCGGGGGTCCACTGTACAGTGGACCCCCGCCTTACGATCAGCTCCCAACTCGACCAATTATGTAAGTGTATTTTTGTAAGTGCTTTTGTACATGTATTTTAGGGGGTCTGAAACGGACTAATCTAATTCACAGTATTCCTTATGGGAACAAATTCGGTCAGTAACGGCACCCGAACAGACTTCTGGAATGAAGTAATATCGTTAGGCGGGGGTCCACTGTATAGCCTTAAACTGATTTGCAGGCAGAGGCCCTTTAGTGTGTTCTGGCAATGAATTCCAGATCTTCGGGCCCTTTATGTGCAAAGTATTTTTGCAAAAGGAGAAATGGTCACGAGGGATATTGAAGAGTGATTTGTGCCTTGTGTTATGCCTGTGTGTTCTCTTGTAGTTATCGAGGAGGAGTTTGACAGGAGGGTTACTATTTGAGTATAATGTTGTGTGTGTGTAGTAGGCACAATATTAAGTGTGGATGTTTTGTATATTACCTAGGTAGTAGGTTGGTGGACAGCAACAACCCAGGGAGGTACAGTACTATCGTCCTGCCAAGTGAGTGTAAAACAAAAGCCTGCAATTGTTTTACATGATAGTAGGAATGCTGGTGTCTTTTTTCTGTCTCAGAAACATGCAAAATTTCAGATACATCTTGATACTTCTACTTACATTTAGGTCACACTGCACATGCATGTACAAGCATATGTATACATACCCCTCTGGATTTTCTTCTAGCTTCTTACTAGTTCTTGTTCATTTCTTCTTATCTCCATGGGGAAGTGGAACAGAATTCTTCCTCCGTAAGCCATGAGTGTCGTAAGAGATGACTAACATGCCGGGAGCAATGGGCTAGTAACCCCCTTCTCCTGTATTCATTACTAAAGTTAAAAAGAGAAACTTTTGCTTTTCTTTTAGGGCCACCCTGCTTCAGTGGGATACTGCCGGTGCATTAAAAGAAGAAAGAGTTTTGTATATTAAGCAACTTAAGGCTCTTAAAATGCGGTGAAGTGTGCTGTCTAGTGCAAGAGTTGTTAATCAATCGTACTGCAGCTTTTCGTTGGGTTTCAGTATTTCCATAAAGCCAGAAAGACAAAGGGGTCTAAGAAAAATCATAAATACAAAGAATGGGGGCTCAAATGGGAAAAAATTGGATTTTTTCTATTAGTGAATCTCCAACTATAACACACAAGTATGGAAAATGGGTTTCACTTAATAAGTTCCCTTGGCGACTTTAATTTTGCTACATTTCACCTGGAAACATTTACTTTGCTTCATGTAATGAGAAGGTTCATCAGCTTAACATACCTTAGCAGCAGTGATGGAGGTATTTTGTGCGCTGCCATACTCATCCTGTATCTGTGGCCGATGAGTGAACCCCTGCTTAACACTGACGTCATCCAATTCATCCTGAAATTCATTATTTTTATTACATTCATAGGGAGTGCTTAATCTGTAGGTGGTCATATGGTACAGTGGTACCTTGACTTACTAGTTACCACGATAAAATGTCATAAAAGCTGCACGTGTCCTTTAGTTTAATATCTTTATTATGCACCTGACACCCATCCTGTGGATGGTAAAGAGATTACTGAGGCACATAAGGGGTCCATGGACTGGCTGCAAACGATTTGACAGTTAAACAAGCTACAGTCATTATGAACTATGTGCATGTTGTACATGATTACAATCGTAAGGAGTTACTTGTGCAGACATGAACTGTCACAAAAATATTACCTTATATTTTAGCAACATATGTTTGAATTAAAACAAGTTTAAGAGTAATTTTCCAGAATTATTACTGACATGCCACAGTGGATAAAAAACTTTGACTTTTCTTAACATTTCTGAGTGAGTTGTCTCTGAATCCATTATTGTTATTTCTGAATTCATTCATTTTATTGCAATCAAGCACATGACACTGCAAGGTGTGACAATTGTCCATCTGACAAAGTTTACATTTAATTATGTCTACATCATCTGGTGGTGGTTGTTTAACTTTCCAGAGATACTGGTAACCCAGTTGGAGCCGGGAGGTAGTAACATCCAAGAGTCTGTTTATTTTGCTGGATGCACCATAGACATATGGCTCCTCCTGCATGATAGAATGATGACAGATGGACTGACTGGTCTCAATCTCCCTCAAGCTTAAGTTAATGAAGCTCAGTTGATGGTCCTATCCTGCATATAACATACTGTCTGGAATTCTATCAACATTATTTTAAAGATGGCCAGGTGTTTCACGTGTCTTATTCGTCATAATCCTGGCAAACAGTGAAATCACGAAACAGCAAATGTGGTAAGCTAGCCCACAATTAATTATTGAATTTTAGTGTTAAAACATTAAACTAAAGCAAATGTACAAAATAAAAATAATAAAATAATGTTAAAAATAAGTGCAACATGATGTTACAATAATAATAATATTATTATTATAATAAAAAAGAAGCACTAAATAATAATAATAATAATAATAATAATAATAATAATAATAATTATAATAATAATAATAATAATAATAATAATAATTAAAAAATAAGTGTCAAATCCTTAATTAAGGCTCCTATAGCACAAACTATTTTTATTATAATAATAATAAATTTAACCTGGATAAAACCATAAATAAAATTGTTTTACATACACAGAAGCATATCTATACAGAGTTCATTAAAATTATTACAATCTAGACTCCATAAGATGAACCTGACTTGAGACGAGAGAGATTAACACAACAAGGTATCCCTGGCCCACACGGGGAATATTTAAATCAATATTTCCTTTTCAGTTCAAAACCAGGGGTATAACTGCACCTCCTTTTGCTTGGCATCTTGAGGATAGACATCTGGGGGACCTAATTTCTGTCGTTTGAGAGGACGCTTCTCAGCAGAAGGTACAGCCATCATCTTGCTGACGTTCTTGTTGTTGGGGCTGGTAAGGGCTCCTGAAACTTAACTTCAATTATAAATTTGTAAGTTTGTTAAGGTATAAGTACACATAGATACACAAATTATCATTTAGTAACGTTTGTGTAAATTACCCAGGATAACTCAATAAATGTCAAACAAATGGACTTTTTTTTTCTACTTACTTACTTATTTGGGTTCTTGTATTTCCAGTGATTCAGGTGACATTACTGTCATTTATTTCCACAAAGTATAGTTTACAATTAATTGAAAAAGAGGTGACATTATTGTAATATTTTAAAGAAAGTCGCTGTTTATGGAGATTATCTCAGGGAAGCCATTCAATAAACGTATAAATACAACAATCCCCAATTAAAATAAGCCACTTTGACTTTTTTAGTTTATCTCAGGTAATTTTGAATTATTCTAGGTAATTTACGCTACGAATTATAATTGTACTTACGTGTATCTGTGCCTAAATAAACTTACATACCACATGAATTATTTTGCAAAACAATATTTTTTAGTCATTATAATCTTTATATCTACAAATTACATGACACAGTTGATATAGATCTAGTTGGCATTACTGACATACTATATAGAAACCCCCTGGTTGTGGACAGCATTTTAGGTAAGTTATGTTAATGTGATCTTGAGAGCAATATACTATGTTAGATATTAGATTTTGCCACAGAAGTGGCTAGTTTACTGAGCACCCCATATCCATCCTGTGGACGGTAGCACAAGAGCATATGGTACACAAAAGGCCTAGGAACTAGGCTCCAAAAGGGTTAACAGGTGTACATATGGGTTTATATCTATGTATCTACGGTTCACTTATCTGTTACAAGCAAATATAGGAAATTTGCTTAGTATATCTGGTATCTTATTTTCATTAATAAGATATCTTGACGTGTCACATAGCTTGAAGTTCCTGAACCTGTATTCCCTGGAACGCAGGCGGGAGAGATACATGATTATATACACCTGGAAAATCCTAGAGGGACTAGTACCGAACTTGCACACGAAAATCACTCACAACGAAAGCAAAAGACTCGGCAGACGATGTAACCCCCCCCCCCAATGAAAAGCAGGGGTGTCACTGGCACGTTAAGAGACAATATAGTAAGTGTCAGGGGCCCGAGACTGTTCAACTGCCTCCCAGCATACATAAGGGGGATTACCAATAGACCCCTGGCTGTCTTCAAGCAGGCACTAGGCAAGCACCTAAAGTCGGTACCTGACCAGCCGGGCTGTGGCTCGTACGTTGGATTGCGTGCAACCAGCAGTAACAGCCTGGTTGATCAGGCTCTGATCCACCAGGAGGCCTGGTCACGGACTGGGCCGCGGGGGCGTTGACCCCCGGAACTCTCTCCAGGTAAACTCCAGGTATTATACTGTCTGTCTCTGTATTCCTCAATAAGTGGACAATTAAGCACATAGTGTTCAAGACAGTGACCATATGCCTGATCACATAATTTACATTTAGTTTGATCATCATCTGTGTGTCTCCCAAACTGCCAGAAGTACTTGTAACCAAGCCTAAGTCTGGCCACTACAACATCAGTCAGTCTGTTCACATTGCAAGTTGCTCTTTAAACATATTTATCTACGGTCATGTTATCATAGTGGGTTATAGATCTACTCAGGCTTCTAACTGCATTACTATAACAATCATTTTCATTATTTACTTCTCTCCTAATATTATTCCTAATGCTAGACACAGATATACCAAAGTTATATTCTACATTCTTCTTCTGGGTACTCTTCTTGGCTAATATATCAGCTAAGAAGATACCAGGAAACAAAACAATCAAACTAACAAAACCAGATGAACCCCTACTCCCGCCGACTGAAACAGCAAACAGACCCAATGATTTCTTCACCATAGGAAAAAACCTGGCGGAAAAAATCCCAAGCTCAAACACCCCACCTAATGACTACCTCACTGGCACCTTCCTGAACACACTATTCCTAGCTCCAACTAACCCAACAGAAGTCTCACTTATTATCAACACACTAAAGAACAAGGCAGGAGATTTAACTTGCCACCCTTTATATACAAAAAAGTTTCACAAGTGCTGTCACCAATCATTCCAACACTTTAACAAATCCATCGAATCCTCTACCTTTCCTACAGTTCTCAAAATAGCGAGGGTCACCCCTATAACTATAGGCCAATATCCAACTTACCCATTCTCTCTAAAATCTTTGAAAAATTAATTCATAAGTGAATTTATTCCTACCTCATCTCCCACAACATACTCAACCCCTGTCAGTTTGGGTTCAGGCCTAATAAAAATACGAATGATGCTATTATACACATGCTTGAACAAATATACACTGCACTCGAGAAAAAAGAAGTCCCATTGGGGATCTTCATTGATTTACGTGAAGCTTTTGATACAGTTGACCATGATTTGTTGCACATAAAATTATCTCACTATGGTATAAGAGGGCACTCCCTCAACTACCTAAAGTCATACCTTAGTAACATAACCCAACATGTGTACGCAAATGGAGCAAACTCTTCCACGCAACCAATTACAGTTGGAGTCCCACAGGGAAGTGTTCTTGGCCCTCTTCTCTTTCTCAGTTACATAAACGACCTACCAAATGCATCGCAACTACTCAAACCCACAATATTTGCAGATGACACTACATACGTCTTCTCTCACCCAAGCCCAGTCATACTAGCCAATACTGTTAATACCGAATTACAGAAAATATCTACCTGGATGATGATTAACAAGCTTAGTCTCAATATTGACAAAAGCTACTACATTCAGTTTGGGAACAGAACTACAGATGTTCCTCTTAACATAATAATAAACGGATCACCTATCACGAATCTCACAGAGGGAAAATTCTTAGGAATCCACCTTGATAATAGACTCAAATTTCAAACACATGCACAACAAATCTCCAAGAAAATCTCCAAGACCGTAGGCATACTATCGAAGATACGGTACTATGTTCCACAATCAGCTCTCCTGGCCCTATATCACTCATTCATTTACCCGTATCTCACCTATGGAATCTGTGCATGGGGCTCAACAACAATAAATCATCTCAGACCACTAATTACCCAACAAAAGGCTGCAGTCAGAATGATAACAAATTCCCACTCCAGGCAGCATACTCCACCAATATTCAAAAGTCTAAACTTACTCTCTGTACAAAACATCCATACTTATTATTATGCCTACTACATACATAGGACAATAAACTCATATATAAACCCTCCACTCAAACTTCTCCTTACCAACCTCAACAGAACACATGACCATAACACAAGGCACAGATCACTCTTTGATGTTCCTCGTGTCCATCTCACACTATTCATTACCTTGAATACAAAAGAAACACTGTCTGTTTATCAGTTCAAGACTCTTCTTAAAAACCACTTACTCACCCACAACTAAATAAATATTGAATAACTGTATTTCATAAAAGTGAAACCTGTGACCTTATCAAACTATGTTTTTTAATTACATTACCTAATAGAATAATCCATTCTCTTGAATGCACAGTAACTCATCTAATGACCATGTGACCTGTTTCTGCACTACAAATAGTATATTGATATAGTATATTGATCATTTTGTTATATTATACATTGTTATGCTACAAATTTGTACAGTTATAATGCTTCTTAATTGAAAGGCTCAAATTTCATTATTTAAAATACTCATTTGTACTTCACGTTGTATTTGTTTACTGTAATTTTTACCACTGAATATATCATTGCTTAGTTAATCTTAAGTTAATTTTAAGCTGGCACATAATGCTCTGCATACAAGGAGCTTTTGACATGTATACCCAACTATAATTCCTTGTGCAACTATGTATCATGTCCAAATAAAGTATTGTATTGTATTGTAAGGAGTAATCCAATGTGTGTGATGGGATCCATAGCAATTGTACATTAATTCCTTTGTCCCTGATTTTTGAGTATTTATACCTGGCTTCTCCAATGGACATGTTGTTGGAGTCATTATATGAGTCAAGAGCCTTCAATGATGACATAGAATCAGTAATGATGACAGAGTCAAACTCAGTGTCATAAGTTAGCTTTAGCGCCATTAGGATGGCAAACAATTCAGTTTGCAGTGTAGACGCCCAGTTGTTAATTCTTATGCCTATGTTAGACAGATCTTGAAACCTGATGTTTTCATCCAATCCCATCCCTGTTCTCATTGTTTTAGTTTTTTTCAACTCCCATATAATATTAGGCATATACTATCTCATATTTTGCTTTGTAATTAAAGTAACTGGTCAAGGACCCAAATGGAAATAAGTCACTTTTTTGGGGTTATCCTAGGTAATTTACACTATGATAATTGTACTTATGTGTATCTGTGCCTAATTATACTTACACTCACCCTGCTAAACTAGACAAATATATCTTCTTATTGTAATTTTTAATGAATTAACTTGGAACTTGCATCTATTAAGTTTCTACTAATATTGTGTACGAAACCCTTATAAAAATGAACATTAAAAAAATTAATTTAACAAAATTGAGTAAATTTAAAATACAGTAAAGTCTTAGTTTTGCCCGAGATGCTATGGGCCTTTATTTTATTATATGTCCTGTGCAGTAATACTGAAATTTAGATTAGTGTTTGCAATTTTGTATCAAACGTTTTAGCAAATTGTTGGTAGTCCTCAGCTCACACACTGAGGGTCCGGGAACGATCCCCGGCACGGGTGAAACGCCGGGCATGTTTCCCAGCACACGCTGCATCTGTTCACCTAGCAGTAAGTAGGTACCTGGGTGTTAGTGACCTTACACTTTGTGCCCCTGTTCACCCAGCAGAAAATAGGTACCTAGGTGTTAGTAACCTTACACTTGCTGCCCCTGTTGACCTAGCAGTATGTACCTGGGTGGTAGCTGACTGTTGTGAGTGGCATCCTGGTGAACAAGATGAAGGTAATGAAGTGCTTTTTCCAAGTAACTCTGAATCTGTTGGAGGTCTCACACAACAGGTATGATACCTGGAGTTTACCTGGAGCTGGGTATTGGCCAATA